GTGTCTCTTACGTTTGTCAGAAATTCCATGAGGTAATAATTTGTTTTATATGCTCTGCCACACCTAGTTGATTGTAAATAGCATATCAGGCAACATCCTGAACTTTTAGTGACAATCTCAGTGCTGATTAATTTACTGCTGACTGTAAATTTGATGGACCCTTTCATTCACACAGGTGGTAAAAATATAACATTCCTGCTAGAATACAACGTTTTGGCTCATAAAAATAAGATAAATAACCCTTTATCCTTTTTTAAAATAATCCACTTTCAATGTGACATATAATGCACTTTACTTACCTGTAAAGTCATAGTTCCTGAATTTTCTCTATCATTTTTTAACATAAAAAGTAAAAATAAAAAAGAGAAACTCCAATGTCAGTGCTTTTGTGGGTATGTCATAGCAATTAAGAATATTTTGGTCTAAGCTGGATGATTCTTTTCTGTTTAAGGCGATTTCTTCTTTATTCAAAATCAACTAAACAATTCAAGCAATACTCTAATATTGTTATGTACTCAACCAAGAGGAATGAATGTTGATCAAGTATGTCACTCGAAATCTGTCATTAAGATTGGATTATATTAGCTATATACGCTCAGATTTGAAGAGTTTCGAGCATATAATGAAAAATCTTAAATATTTATTGATTTATAGACACAATTATTTTAATTTAACTTCATGTGCCCTGTTCCACCAATTTGAATAGGTTCCAACACTTAGTTGTTTTGTGTTGTCTGTCCTACATTTGGCTCCTCTCAGGAGACCCTATATATTTTCATATTTTACTGGTTCTCAACTCCGGCTCAGACATTTCTAACCTTTTTTTTCCTGTTTAACTTAATTTGGTTTATTTAAAAATATATATATGTATAATAATAGATACATAATTATAGCAACAGAAAAAAAAGTAGAACTTTGAGTCACAACAGACTTCAGAGGCACATAAAGGCAGCTTCTTTGTCAGCCTTTAATCACCTGAAGAACATTTCCAGGATTGAAGGAATAATGTCCAATCTGTCCACCCAGAAGTAAAACCAAACAGGGAGAAGCAGCATTTAGTTCCTCTGCTCCACTGATCTGGAACAAATTTTCCAGAAGACTGGAAAATAGATGAAAGGCTGACAACTTTTAAGTGAGAATTAAAAACCTATTTGTTTTACAGCTGCCTTTGGCTGTTGAAGTTGAACCCTTAACTGAGGTATTATTAATTTAAGAATGAGACCCTACTGTTTTATTTGTTTGACACATGTTTTTTTTATCTTTATATGCTTTTATACTACGGTACTTGTATTTTTCTTCAATCTAATTCATCTAAAGCACTGAATTGTCCGTGCGCTGAATTGTGCTATACAAATAAACGTATCTTGCCTTCTCTTCATCCATTGCCAAGAACATTTTTGTTTTTAGGTATTTGCAAATAAATACAGTGTTATTCTTAAATTACATAAAATCGTTAACTTTTATGACTTTCTTCAGATTAAACACTGAAGTATCAGAAAAATACCCAGACCTGCCAGGTAAAACTAAACCTAAAGTTTGGCCTCCATCTCCATCACCTTAACATAGAAACATGTTAAAGGAGCACGAAGAACAAATATAAAGACAGACAGACGATGATGGATGGATGGATGGATGGATGGATGGATGGATGGATGGATGGATGGATGGATGGATGGATGGATGGATGGATGGATGGATGGATGGATGGATGGATGGATGGAAAGAAATATATAGTTTATTTGGGGGGCATATCCTAATATCTTAAAATATGCAGCTAAATAAATAAAGTTAAGGAGATTGGTTGAAATAACTGTAGTGACACATTCCTTATTTCATTATTAATGCTTACAAGAATGATATCAGACAGAGATTGATCAAACCAGTGATCTAATTAGCCTCTTCTTTCCTAGCAGAGATGTGCAAGCTTTTTATTCCTCGGCCTCTACAGAATAATGTAGAAACATCAAACACAAAGGGGACAGTGTGAAAAGCCCAACCCCTGATTTCTAAACCAGGCCAGTTTACTGTGGAGCTCTGAGAAAAAGAAAACCAAACTGACATTTCATTCACTGACATTTTTTTTGCAGCACTTTTTCTTTTCCTTTTTTTCTGGCAACTTTTATGTGTTAGCAGCAAGTTGTTTTTGTTTTATTTGCTGCACATTTGCTCTTTACTTCTCTCTATTTTCTATGATGGCAGTACTTTCTCTTGTTCAGCATTTGTGTTGTATAGTTGGTAACAATTTACAAAAAAACATAATTTATAAATGTTAAAGAGACCATTAATTAATAATCAACAGATCGTTTCATCCATGTTTTATATTCATTTATAAACTGCATCTAAGCCATTTATAAAAGGTGTTTGATCGCTTGGTTCTAATCTGAGGAGGAATGAATCTCAGATAGTGTACAAAGAGAAAGAAAACATCTTTCAGAATTAGCAGAATTTATTCCAGTCATGTTTAACAAAATTACTGATATAAACAGAAATTACAGTCTACTCCTAGCCATATCTGTGCGAACAGTAAAATGGCCCCGATTTATTTAAAGCTTCCCAATGTATCCAAAAAGGCCACACCCAGCCGGGAGGGGCCTCTTCCAAAGTTATAATAATTAGATCATAATGCTCTGCCATGTCGGTGTATGCCTAACAACACTGTTCTTCATGCCTAACCCTATCCTGACTCATTTATATTGCACTGCCAAGTTAGTTTAGCGCTAACCCTAACACCTGAACCTAGCCTTTATTTTTCATTTAACTTGCCCAGTCATGTTACGAGTGACTTACACTAACCTACATAACAGTGGGCTTAATACCTTAATAAAATATCTATTTTCCCTTTCTAAATTGTTTAGATTTAGTTTGTAAAGATTTTATGTTTTGATTTAAATTTGGTATCTTTACCATTTATACATTATATTTATGATGGTGATGGTAAAATGAAAACCTCTTGTCAGGTGGGGGTGGAGGTTTGTCAGGACCCAAATGCAGACACAAAAAGCTGAAGTGAATTCTTGAATATTTAATTAATCAAAAAGTTCAACAGAAGCAAAAACCCAAAACATAAATCCACAAAACCACAAAAACTGAGAACCAGTAATACTAACAAAAAGGGGGCAAAGAAATGACAACAAACAAGCAAAGAGTGAGCAGCAAAGAGGAGAATAAATAGGAGAGAGAAACAAAGACCAGGCTAATTAGCAGATTGGGAGCAGGTTTGAACAAAAGAACAAAAATACAATCAAAAATAACTAGAATACAAGAACAGAAATTAGACCCTGCCTGAAATATTAGGGACAAAATACAAAATATTTTGCATTTTTTGAACCTCGCCAAAATTTTCTTTGAAATAAACATTGCAAAACACTACCAAACTATTATTTATAGCACAAAAAAGTAGTACAGACTTTCAAATCTAAATGTTGTATAAAAATATACCAAATTTGGACTCAATCAGATGAATCATATTTATTTTAGAATGGTATTAGTGAGAAATTTCTTAGGCGGAGAGGCCATTTTGGCACATTTATCCATAAATGACACCAAACTGTGCCAAATATGTTTTTTACATCAATACTGGGGGTTTGGTAGAATTACGAGGTCACGTAGCAGCTGGACCCGCCGGTGGGTCCGTAGGGTTCAGGGGGTTAGACCACTGAAAACTCAGAGATAAAGCTGGAACAGAACGAAAACCATAACACCTTTAGTTTTGTTTTCAACCCTCTATTTTTATGATTGAATTACCATTTCTACTTTCTATTTGTTTATAAATTTGCCATGTGTTTGTTCATCTTAGCCACCGTCCTTTAATTACCAAGGCAAAGCGCATAATGGTGTGAAGTTTTTCCTGCCCTTCTCCTGACTCATATCTGAAAACAATGAAATCCTTTATACCCTCTCTGTCTGATTCGACTTTATGGTACAAATGAGGAAATGTCAAGAAAATTCCCACAAGGACAAATAAAACCTATTTCTTGTTAGTCATACTGTCTTTAATCTACAGGAGCTGAAAACTGAATGTTCAAATACTCACATATAAAGCCTTAAATGGCCAAATTCCATCTTACATCAGAGATCTGATTGTTCCTTATGTTCCTAACAGAGCACTTTTCTCTCAATCTGCAGGTTTACTAGTGGTTCCTAGAATTTCTAAAAGTAGAATGGGAAACATTGTTGATGTGGCCATTCGTAGCTGTGTTCGTAAAGTCTCTAGGGTCTGTCGCAGATGCAATCCCTGAAAGTAAGGGATGTCTTTAAGCTCAAGAAGAAGGCCTACCTGGCCTTGTTAGCTAGTTGGGGGTGTGAGGTATTGCATTCGAGTCAATGAGTCGATGTTATCAACTGGTTTTCCTAAGATGGAAAACTTTGAATCAATTTGACTGTATGATCTGGTGAATTGCAAAGTGCCTTGAGATGACATGTGTTGTGCATTGGCGTTATAGAAATAAACTGAATTGAAAAACTGAATAATTGGACTCTGGAATCAGCTGAGAGGTACCGGCAGGCCTAGCATGCTGAAGCATGTGTGGTCACAGAGGCAAAAGCCATGGAGGAGGACTATCGGTCAGCCTCGAAAGTGTTCCGGCAAACTGTCCGACTCCTTAAGAGGTGGAAGCAGTGCTTTACCAACATTGTTTACATTGCGGGTGGGGAGCTGCTGACCTCGATTGGGTATGTTGGTGATGGAAAGAGTACTTCAAGGATCTCCTCAATCCCATCATCAGGTCTTCCAAGGAGGCTGGGGACTTAGAGGTATTTTCAATCATACAAATAAATAAATAATTCAATTTTATTGTCATTACACTGTCACAAGTACAGAGCAATGAAATTAACATTCTGCATTTAACCCATCCCCTTGGGGAGCAGTGGGCTGCCATTGTGTGGCGCCCGGGGAGCAGTGTGGGGTTAATGATCTTGCTCAGGGACCCAGAGTGGCAGTCTGTTGCAGTGGGGGATTGAACTCACAATCTCAGGATTGAAAGCGCTATGCCCTAACCACTATGCCGCCACTCCCCCAAGCAGCCAAGCTTGAAGTAACCAAGGTAGTTAGAGAGCTTTTCAGTGGCAAGGCTCTGGTGGTGGATGAGATTCTTCCTGAGTACTATAAGGCTCTGGATGTTGTAAAACTATCTTGGCTGACACAGGTTTCTGTTACGGGTTGTCCATTCTCTATGTGACCACAGCAGGAGGTTGGTTCACATTGCCGGCAGTAAGTCAGACCTGTTCCCGGTGCATGTTGGTCTCCTCGTCTTCCCCTGGTCCCGGACTCTGGTGGTGGAATAAGCCACAGGGTGAGTAGAACTGAGAATGAGGTAGGGGATTGGGTTGAGGTGGGTGAAAGTTTGCCTGTGTGCAGGAGAGAAAAGCAGGGCCAGGAGCTAAATAAAGGGGATCTTGAAAGATGATTGGCTTTGGCAACGATGTGGCTACAAATTGGCAAATTGGCTGGAGCTGAATTAGGGGCATCACAAGTGGTTGGGGTGTAGCTGATAAGAGTCTTCCAGGTTGAATTTTCGCTTAAGCTTCATTACTGTAAACAAAAGTTAGCTTCAACGTCCAAATCTTTTGGAATATTAGATCTTCAGAGTGGGTGTATAATTCATCAAAATTAAGTGCAATGATTATGGCATTATTGAATTTAAAACACTTTAAAATAACATCATTGTTCAAACAAACTGCTCATATTTTTGAGATGTAAAATAAATATACAATGACCTAAAGTTAGCGAGGATTATTTTCACTCAGGCCTTTATGAAAGGTAATAGATTCTGTTTAGAAGAAATGCAACTCTTCGTGTACCTTGATCTTTGATACTGTCCAACATCACTGTAACATTTTATAGCCCATCATAAAAGGTTATTGGTTGGAAGGAGGGTTATGGAAACTGTTCATCACTCATAGCAGCTGAGATTCACCTGATCAGCTCAGTTGTCGGGACGGGAGAACACGACTACACCAACATGGACGGCGCTGGTTGGAGTCGGATATGCGTCGCTCTTGTTGTCGCTGTGTGGCTGCCTGTCATTAATGGAAGTCCGATAGGTGAGTAGACTATCTGCATAAACACTGTGTCTACAGGCTTGTTCTGAATGCAGGAAAGCAGAAGGCCAGAGAGTAATGAGGTTATAAAAAAGGGTCTAGAATTAAATCTAAGGTTAAATTCTTTAGTGTTATATCAATATTTTATGTCAAGAACAGGAAGTAGAGCCTTTCATTTGAATGTTTCAGCCTTACAGAAGTCTCTCCTTATCTATTAGGTTCAAGGTTCAAAATGGACACACTCCACTTGTTCTACTGGTGCCGTGTCTTCTTTATCCCACGTTAGTTAAACTATATAAATTGGCTATCCTGTTGTTGTTAAAGCCAACTGTGGCTTTCATCAGGATTCTGGCTGTTATTTTGAGTGTGCTAAATTGTACACTCTACATAAAAATGTCCAGCGTGAAATATGTGCACACTTCCAGATCACTCTGGTTTCCTTTACTCTTTAAAAGTAGAGATTTGCCCTGATATGATAGTTTTGTTATTGTTGCTTATTTCAGAGCAAACTGGCCTCCTTTAGAAATCAGGGGTTGGGTTTTTATTGCTGTTTTCTCTCTGTATGTAGTTTTATGGCACCTTCTTCCTTCTATAAAAAGGTATCTGGTTTAATCAATCTCTGTCTGTTCTTATTCTTGCAAGCATTAATAACTAATGTGCCTCTACGATAAATTTGACTGATCTACTTTGTTAACTTAATTTATTTAGGTGTATTTTTTTCTCGCTATTTATACTCCTTTAAAATCTTAAATTTATTTATAACCCCGCTCTGTTGTGAAACGTATGGTTGTGTAACTGAAAAAACGGAATCTGAGGTTCCTCAAATCCATAAACTGTGGATAAGCTGGAAGAGTTGCTGTTTCCTAAAGGTTGTGGGTTTGATTCCAGCTCTCCAATGTCTCATATCCATGTGCCCCTGGGCAAGGCACTTAAATCTAAATTCCCTTCTGCTTATCTAACTATAATAGAATAGATAGTAGATCTAGTTCAATTTCCATAGAGATTTTTATAGGTTTTATAGGTTCTATAATAGAATAGAATAGAATAAAAAAATCCCTTTATTGTCCAGCAATGGGGAAATTCTGATGTTTACAGCAGCAAAAAGATTATAGAAAAATGGTCACTCAATTATGGACCTTAGAGAAATGTATAAGAGAAATGTAGAAGATATGCGTGTTTGAGAAAACAATATGGTGATTGTGACTCCACTGTAAAGTCATTTGAATTGTCAACGCGATGAGCCAGCACCAAACTGAATTATATATTTTTTTTTTCATTTATCTTAAAAAATTTGAATAATAAGTAACAGACTCAGACAGGGCGTCTGAACAGAACTTTCAACAGAAGCAGATTTACTTTGAATCACAAATAATGTCTGGCGTCAGTGGATTATTAGAGTATTTTGTCTAGGTATTGTTTTTTTATCTATAGCATTGGCTTTAAATATATGTTAAGAAAGTAGGTCAAATATATATTTATGTCTCTTATTAGCTGGGGGGGCTTACGCCTACATGTGACTTCTTGTTCTTATGTGGATGTAATTCAGAGCCACCGGAAAAAGCAGTTCCACTCTAAACCTGTGGGTGGCAGTAGTGATACTTAAAATGGAATGTCAGTACTATCAATTAAAACGTCCATTGAGGTTTTAATAGTAGCTTACAGGTGCTGGTCATAAAATTAGAATATCATGAAAAAGTAGATTGATTTCAGTAATTCCATTTAAAAAGTGAAACTTGTATATTATATTCATACATTACATACAAACTCATATATTTCAGATGTTTATTTTGTTTAATTTTGATGATTACAAATGACAACAAATGAAAATCTCAAATTCATCATATCAGAAAATTAGAATATTACTGAAGACCAATAAAAACAAAGGATTTATAGAAATGTTGGCCAACTGAAAAGTATGAACATGAAAAGTATGAGCATGTACAGCACTCAGTATTTAGTTGGGCCTCCTTTGGCCTGTATTACTGCAGCAATGCGGCGTGGCATGGAGTCGATCAGTCTGTGGCACTGCTCAGGTGTTATGATAGCCCAGGTTGCTCTAATAGTGGCTTTTAGCTCTTCTGAATTGTTGGGTCTGGTGTATTGCATCTTCTTCTTCACAATACCCCATAGATTTTCTATGGGGTTAAGGTCAGGAGAGTTTGCTGGCCAATTAAGAACAGGGATACCATGGTCCTTCAACCAGGTACTGGTAGCTTTGGCACTGTGTGCAGGTGCCAAGTCCTGTTGGAAAATGAAATCTGCATCTCCAAAAAGTTGGTCTGCTGCAGGAAGCATGAAGTGCTCTAAAACTTCCTGGTATGTGGCTGCGTTGACCCTGGACCTCAGAAAACACAATGGACCAACACCAGCAGATGACATGGCACCCCAAACCATCACTGACTGTGGAAACTTTACACTGGACTTCAAGCAACGTGGATGAAGTGCCTCTCTTCTTTTCCTCCAGACTCTGGGACCTTGATTTCCAAAGGAAATGCAAAATTTACTTTCATCAGAGAACATGACTTTGGACCACTCACCAGCAGTCCAGTCCTGTTTCTCTTTAGCCCAGGCAAGACGCTTCTGACGCTGTCTGTGGTTCAAGAGTGGCTTGACACAAGGAATGCGACAGCAGAAACCCATGTCTTTCATACGTCTGTGTGTGGTGGTTCTTGAAGCACTCACTCCAGCTGCAGTCCACTCTTTGTGAATCTCCCCCACATTTTTGAATGGGTTTTGTTTCACAATCCTCTCCAGGGTGCGGTTATCTCTCTTGCTTGTACACTTTTTTCGACCACATCTTTTCCTTCCCTTCGCCTCTCTATTAATGTGCTTGGACACTGAGCTCTGTGAACAGCCAGCCTCTTTAGCGATGACCTTTTGTGTCTTGCCCTCCTTGTGCAAGGTGTCGATGGTCGTCTTTTGGACAACTGTCAAGTCAGCAGTCTTCCCCATGATTGTGTAGCCTATAGAACTAGACTGAAAGACCATTCAAAGGCTTTTGCAGGTGGTTTGAGTTAATTAGCTGATTAGAGTGTGGCACCAGGGGCCATCAATTTTGAACCTTTTCACAATATTCTAATTTTCTGATATGATGAATTTGAGATTTTCATTTGTTGTCATTTGTAATCATCAAAATTAAACAAAATAAACATCTGAAATATATGAGTTTGTATGTAATGTATGAATATAATATACAAGTTTCACTTTTTAAATGGAATTACTGAAATCAATCTACTTTTTCATGATATTCTAATTTTATGACCAGCACCTGTATATTAACCATAAATTCGCAAAAATACTCAAAAAGAAATAGTCATTCATTTTGACATTCTTATACCAACATTACAGATAATCACATAATTCATGCTCTTTTCCATGCTAATTTTGCTGTATTATGGTAGAGCTGATATGTTAAGTGTCCCTGTTGTCATTTAGGGGACCTGTATATAACTTAAGATAAGATTAACTACTCAACATATTCAAATTGCTCATTAAGCAGATCTATGTATGAAAAATTTAGATAGCATATCTATTTATACATATAGCATGTATGTAAATTTTTTTAGCAGGTGCTCTATAAAAATTTGGTCTTCAGTGATTTATTTTTTAAATACATATTCAGTTTAATTAAATTTTGTTTATTTATGTAGAGCCAATTCTCAACTCATCATCTCAAGGCACTTTACAGAAACAATTCCACCTAAAAGCAAATCTAACTAAGGAAACCCAGCTGATTTCATGAACTCTCTGATTCGACAGCAAAGCATGCATGTGTTTATTCATTTTCCTGTTTGTACAATAGGATTACTGTAGATTGACCCTACTGTAGATTGTCTGCCTTTATAAAAAAAAAAAAAAATTGGACTATTTTTTGCTAGTACTAATGAAAAAGAAATTATCTTGGTAATCCTAACTAACCTAAAACGTTTTTTCGATCTAGTACCAGCTTGTAAGTGTCGTTCTATGGACTTTGTTAGCATAGTCCATAGACTGAGAACTGGGTTTCGGCTGGGAATAACACTGTAGCTTACAGTTTCACAAACTCTGAGAGTTTAATACTTTTATCCTCACTGCAATTTTCACAAATATATAGCAAACCTAAGGTGGGGAGGACTGGGGGTCCTTAGCAGCTCTGGACAAGTAAAGTACTTTAGTATAAAAAAAAAACTTTAAAAAAAATGTTTTTTTAATTTGGGATGTGTAAATATACACTTGATATCCAGTGATTATAAAAAGAAAAAGCGTAAAATTATCACATGCCAAAAACAAATGAAAGGTAGAGGAACCTTTTTGGGGTATTTCACCTCCAACACACTTTTTTCTTACTATATTTCCACTTTAAGTGTAAACTAAAGAGTAAATGGTTGATAGGAAAAATAGATTATGTCAAATAAAACATGAGCTATAGTCATTTCGGGAGTTAATCCTATAGGACTAATCAGGATTTACTTGCTGGTGAACATTTTCAGTCATTCAGGTCATAGTCATTCCAAAAAAGTAAAAAAAAAAAAAAAAACATTTCTATGGACTTTGTTTTCAAGTTTGAAGACATTTCGCTTCCCATCCAGGAAGCTTTTTCAGTTCAAAATTTCAGAAATAGCATTGAGTTCAAGGATTTTTAGAGTGGACCAAAGCAAAGCCTTGTTTTGGCTTAGAAACATGCAACTTGAAACGGACGAACGGGTCAGACGGACCCCTTCTCCCGTGGGGGTCGCTTTGTTTCTTTGTTAGCCTGTAATATCCGACAACAACAATCCCCTTTAACCACGCCCCCTTTCAGAGACATAGACAGGTTTCGAGTATTACAGACTAACAATTCTACAAAGCCTTGAACTGAACGCTATTTCTGACATTTTGAATTGAAAAAGCTTCCTGGATGGGAAGAGTCTTCAAACTTAGAAAACATATCCAGTAGACTGTTTTTTTCATTATGTTTTTAGGATTTACTTATTTCTATTTTATTTAGAGACAATGTTGACATTATCCAATCCACAGCTCATAGGTGCTACTTTCTTTTGGAATGGAAACCCATGGATATTGTAGACATTGATTTCTGCACATAAAAAACATATTTGAGGAGTGAATCTATGTATTGAATTGTCTATGTAAATGCCTTGAGATCACACGTGTTGTGCATAAATTGAACTGCCCCAGTGCAAAAAGATCTGGTGCTAAAAAAGGGTAGATTTTCTTTTTTTTTTACTACAGATGCACAAACGTTGGTTTGCTTTTTTTCTTTTTTTCTACAATGGAGATAAACTGTTGTTTCAAAAAAAAAACTTTCTAGGATATTGTATCAGTCACATCTAAGCATATTAATAATTAATAATAATAATTGTTAACCTTACATATCGGTTATTTTAATAAAGCTTACTTTTTTGAAAAACTGATTATTGAGGTTTATGTATTTGCTCTTAATAAAGTATACTTAAATTAATACTAATCGATTTGTTTTCATCTCAAATATATGACTTATTTATTTATTTATTGTTTAAGTCACATAAAGGTAACCATGAATTTCATGCAATTCATAACAATGGGAATGTGTGACCCTTTTTGGGTGTAAGTTATGCTGTTTTTATCATAATAAATATTCATTACACATATAATACACTGAACTTTGGTTAAAATAAACTAACTGATTTTTCTCTTTTTCTGTAGGCACTACAACCATTAACTGTGTTTCGGTTTCTGAAGCAAAGCATCTGGGTGCTGTGGATGAAGAATATTCAGGTGAGATGTTTAAAACTTCTTAATCAGTATCACGGTTCGTCCAACGCCACCTTGATGCATTGCTTGAGTCTGTTATTTTTCATCATTAAAAAACAGATCATTTAATGTTACATATACTGTGAATTAGGTGAGTAATAAGGACATTTCCAAGTGATTCAGTTTTTCTGATTGTTTATCACCTGCTGCTGCAGGTGATGTGGAGCTGGTGACTGGTATTCCACCTGGTACCAGTCTGACCCTGGAGGTGGACATTTTCGACCATCTTCAGTTTCTGGAGTTGATCTACACTCCAGGGGAAAGCACAGCAACTGTTCGTACCAAGAAGCCACTCGACGCAGACAAACTGGCTGATGTAAACTGTCCCATTTTAATTCTACTTAAAATGAAGTTTTCTAAATATTTTTGTTTTAAAGGCACACTATGCAACATTTTTCAGTTAATTAATGTGTTCCATAACGTTTTGGATTATTAAATGAGTCATTTCAGGTTGAACAAAGGTATTCTCGGCCGCCCTGGTGGTCTGTGGGGGAAATACTGCACTTGCAATTGCAGGAGCACCGACCCGCACCCACAGGCTCAGAAGTCTCGTGAGAGTCAGTCTTGCTTTACGGCGAGAACTGCTACACCCCCCAGTTAAAAGCATTCTCGTTGCTAGCACAGTGGCGATCTTTGTGCAGTTATGCTACGTTCACGCAGCAAAAGCAGCAAAATCGCGTCTGCTGCTTCCTTTTTGCTGCTTGTACCAGTTAGTTCTGACGCGCGGCTGAAGCAGCTTTGCTGCTCTGGCTGTAGCTTCACTATCCTTTCTCTGCCTTGCAGCTATATTTGCTGTGATCATTTGGAATAAAGTAGTTTTAATATGTGTTTAAATGAGAAAATACACCTGAAAACGTAATCAGTGCAGTCAGTTCATTCAGATTATTATCCTGCCTTCAATATTTTTTCTGTCGGAGCCGCTCAGACCCCCACATACCAGCGGTGCGCCGACAGAAGGAATCCCTTCATCAGCAGCCTCTGGCCGGGTCGCCTCCTCGCGGTTCACCGCGGCAGCTGGTAGGTGTTTTTCATCTAAATAATCCAAACTGCATATTCTGCCGGCAGATTTCTGCATTTTAAGTTAATTTAGGCGTCAATAAACTGTTTAAGAGGAGAGATCATAGCCTCTGATCATCAGCGCTGTGTCTCTCTCCCTGCTTCAGATGATTAAACGCGCCCGACGCACTGCTTCAGCTGCTCAGACGTGCTGCGCCTGCTGCTCAAAACGCGCCGCGGGACCTTTTGCTGCGTCTTGACGCGCGTTAACCATTGACTTTGCATGTAAACTCGCTGCTTCTGTCGCGCCAGCTGCGGTGTGAACGCAGCATTAGTCATTCGTTGCGTTCGCCTGTCTGCTAAGCTCAAAACAACCGCGCCTGGCTTGACGGAGAAACCAGGAGAACAGCTGTGCATATTTACGACAGTGCACTTTTACTTTCGCCCTCTGGGGGGAGCCTCGCTGGAAAATCAACACCGGTTGCATAGTATACCTTTAAAGCACTTTTGTATATCTTGACTGATCTGTGCTGAAGTGACAGCCTTTTCCTTTCAGCCCATGTCCAGCTTTGCTCTTTAACCTGTTCCAGCAGAAGTTAAATCCTTCTATGTTTTTGTGTTGCAGAGTGATAGAGTGTTGTACTACAAGTTGGTGTGTGGCCAGGATAATAAGGTGGGTAAAATTAGAATAACTGTAGCATAGAGATTATAAAAATGATTAAATAGCAACATGAAATAGCTTCTCCCATTCTGCTTTTACAGCGCCGACTGACAGTCAATGATATCAACGATAACGGCCCAGAATTTCAGCAGAGTTTCTATAACGCAACAGTTTCAGAGGTAAGTCACTTTGATCTATTACAAACAAAGCAAAAACTATCTTAAAATATTTAGAATCTTTTTCAAATAACTATATGTACAGTTAATTTGAGTGGGTAAATAAGATGATCTACCAATGGATTGAGTATTTCGTCTTAAAATAAGATAATCAGTATTATGCACTTGAAATAAGAGGTTGCGGTTGTTGTTTTTTCTCATTCTAAATGTAAATTTTCTTATTCCATTGGCAAAGTTTCTCACTTTCCTGCGCAAATCAGTAAAAAATTTACTTCATTTAAGAAAAATTGACTTACTTAGACATTTTTGCAGTGAAGGGACTGTTTAAGTCAGAGGATTGGGAGCTATAACTTGGGTCTACGTTGTCAGAATAAAGCTCCAATTTGCTGCCTCCACTTTGAGACATCTTCACTCAAACTGCTTTCAGCTGCTTACCTTTCTTCTCAAAGAAACAACCAAGTGAAAAAAAAGCTTTATCTCTTTAATATTCTCCCAAGCACTTTCTTTCTTTTATAGATATTCCCAATTTCTCCTTCCCTGGAGGATTAAACGCTGTATAAACTGACCCCTTTTTTTGATCTAAAAATAGACACGTCGTTAGGTTTTCATGTCATTATGTCATGAAATCTCAACCAATAAGAAGTAATTGTATGATTTGTTTTTCTTGGTTTGCTTTAATGAATTGCTTTAATCATTCTGATGTCTGTTCTTTCAGATTACAAACCCTGAGACTAAGGTTCTTCAAGTGACAGCTGTTGATAAAGACAGCAGCCCTCAATTCAACACCCTCGAATATTCCTTTGTAAGGACATTAAAATCAACAGCATTTAGATTTTAAGACCATTGCAAAACATATTTTTATTTCAATAATCATTTTAGAAAATAGAAAATAATAGCATGTAGAAAGATATAGTGCTTAACTTGTTAAAGAACATATGATCAGGTCAACGTGATCATGCATGATGATGGAGACATGATAAATATCTTGACAACCCAACCAAGAGTTATCAGTAATGGGAAAGACCATTTAATTTTGTCTGCCTGTAGGATTTAAGTGTGTAAATGAATAGATCAATAAAAAAAACACTGGAAAAAAATGTCAACGTTATTTTGAACAAACCATTAAAAGATCAACACTGGCTTAAAGGTATAGTGGAGGATTTGGGGGAATTTTTGAAAAGACCCGCCCTCTCTACTTAAAAAAAAATGCACATGCACAACCCTGTACCCGCTCCCAAGAGGGAACGTCTATGAAACGCGTGTGAAAGCATGCACAAGCCCATTTTGCCTCGTGCACGCTTTGTTTAAAGGTTAGTGTTCTCATAGCTCATACAAGTTTGCTTTGCAATAGAATATTTGTAATTTTTCCACTATGTCAGACTCCCCACGGTAAGTCAAAATGGGGACACGCACGTAGGACGGCCTTAGGTAAACATATCACCAGAATGATTGACAATTAGGAGGATCAATTATTTTAATGATCTACCTGGAAAAAGAACATCCTCCACTATACCTTTACGATAAACATAGAAAAAACTGCATGCTTAATTACTGTGGGGAAAAGGTAGTCAGCTATTCACTCCACTTAGAGCAATGGATTTCATTCAGTTGGCTTTTTATTTAACTGTGCAAAGAAAAAAGAACAAGACACATCAGCCCTCACAGCATGATGCTCTGAACTAGACAGCATTTGTTTTTCCCTAAATAAAACCCTGTAGAAAGGCTGTGAAGGTCTCCAAACATCTTTACTCAAACAAAGACAGACAGTTTGGAAAATAACACTTATGAAATAATCCCTGAGAAACAGTCTATCTTGTTATGAGAACTATTATTTTTTTTTTATCTTAAACACTCCTCTCACTCAGACACTTTGTTGCCTTGCAGCTCTGAGGCCCGAATGAATAAAACTCAGCACTCATAATGTATCTAAAAGGGAATTGTTTTTTTTTTCCTACCACATTAATGCACATGAAAAACAAACATTTTACTTTCCAGCCATTCTATTTGTTTTCACTTATGAGATCAATTTACAATTTCATTTAATGCTAACATTTTCTTTCAGGAACCACAATCTGAAGACTTTTACATAACAAACACGGGGGTATTTAGGGTAAAGAGGCGACTCAACTACAATGTTGCCCCAAAGTATAATTTTATTGTCACTGCCAAGGTAAGCATATTTATACATTCTTCATTCATTTAGTTCCATCATAAGTACCTCCTCTTTATCTTTTGGTGATAAATCGACTCTCCATTGTTTTCTGCAGGACGTAGACAAACGGCAAAACACAACCTCTGTTGAGATAATTGTTACAGACTATGATAACTTGAATCCTTATTTCAGCCACAGTCTGTACCAGGCTACTATTTCAGAGAACCAGGTGAGTCTCTTTCCAGCAGTTGCATGAGTTTTACCACTGACTCACTGACATAGTCTTTTTAAATAAACCATTTTCTATATAGACACATAGTTTTACATACAAAACTGTTTGGTTTACTTTCAAAAGACCTAACATAGAAGTGTTGGTCTTAAATATGTGTGTTAGGATGGACAACTTAGTGAAATCACACCAGAGGCAATAAAGGCCCAAGATGGAGACTCTGGAATCAACATGACTGTTGTATACAGCATCAGCTCTGGTATGGCAAGCCCATCTGTGTTTAATCTACGAGTTCAGCTTTTGCAGACATTTTTCCATTAGTAGAAATATAGCAGATGAATCAATAATCTGTTTTTTTTAGTCTCTCCTGCCAAGTACCAAGCAAACTTTAACATCAACTCTGGCACTGGAGTTCTGTCTGTGGTGACGGCCTTTGACAGGGAGGACATGGACAGCGGTGAGATCTCTGTCAACATTAAGGTAATTATGTTTTCATTTACACCCAGCCAGTGGGAGAATATAAAGAATGTACAGTTGTCATTTGTTATATGAATTAGTATAAAACTGGATGTAATGTGCCTTTGGGCCATAGATAGAACCAACCAGGTGTTATTGTGATGTCTGCAGGCGGCCCAGACGGATGACCTACTGAAAACGGCTGCAGCCATTGTTTCTGTCACAGTAGAAGATGTGAACGACGAAGCTCCAAAGTTTGATCAGCCTAAGTACAACGTTTCCCTGCTGGAGAACTCCCCCGCCGACGCCGTGGTGTTCAAAGCCGTTGTCACTGATTTGGACCAGGTGGATTTTACAGTATAATTTATATGCAATTTTTAAGAAGGAATTTTGTAAAACAGTATAATTTGTGGCTAAATAAAAATTTAAAAGGAAGTAGTTTGGTGGTTTAATGTAGACAATCTTTTTTTTGCCTTCTACTATGTAATTAACTGCAGTTTACTTTCTTTTGTTCAACTGTTGAAAATATCTGGGGTTATTCTTGAAAACTAAAGGTAGGGCGAATAAAAGTTGATTTATTTAATGATTTTTCTTCTATTTTTGTCAATGATTCCTCAGGGAGGATTTGTGGGAACCTTGAAAATTCTTCCAGAATCAACCCCCTTCTCCATCAGCCCTGATGGGACGGTCCGAGTGAGAAACACTGAAGTTCTGGACCGAGAAGTCACCAAAGCTTTTGTCTTTCAGGTGAATAGAACTATAGATTATCCCTCAGGATTAGCTCTACTGAGCCACACCTTTTACTATGTGATGCTTGGTTCTCTCAGATGAGCAAGGATGGATACAAAATATCTGTTTTATTTTTATTTTTTTTATCCAAGTAACATTTCCACAATTATTTACTTATCAGAACAATATTTACAACACAAAACATAATAAAATACATAATATTTACATATAATGAACGATTATACATTTAAATTCAAATAGGAAAAAGAAAATCTGTCCAAAAAAACTTAAGATGTGAGAAAGATAATATTATCCGTATTCTTATTTTATGTTTTATTAGCTGAGTTGTTCGTGTGTATGTGTTTGTGGTGGGAGTGAATAAGGGAAAGAGTTAAGATGAAAATGTATTAATAATGTTATATAATTAAATAGATATTAAGAGGTAGAACTAGTCGGAAAAAGATGAATTGAGGTGTGTTCCAAGCATATGTAGTAGATTATTAAATTCTTTCATAGTGGTATTTGTATATTTTGCCTTAATTTATTTATTTGTTTTTTTTTATTTGAAAGATTGAAGCAAAGGAGACCGATGCTCCCCACCATAGTGCAACAGCCCAAGTCACCATTAACCTCCTGGATGAAAATGACAACAGCCCAAACTTCACCAGCAGCATGTATGAAGGAAAGGTGTTTGCAAATCAGACGGTGGGGATGCCGGTTGTCCAGGTGAGGCGGCTCACATAAACCTGTGTTTAAGTGAAGACATTCAATCTATTCTTCTTTAGTGAGACATCTCATCTTACAGTGGGCGCTGGTTTGAAATGGACACTTCACTCACGCTCCCCGTGTTTCACGAATTGCGTGAAAAACATGTGACTACTATAGCCACTAGGTGGCAGTCTGAGTCCATTTCGGCGTCCCATGAGTCAGGATTAGATAGCTCAAATAGCAAACTGGGAGGGGTGTTACGTGTTGCGAGCAGTTAGCATAGAGAGTAGGGTGAGTGGTCTGCAGTTCTGAAGGTTGAGGGTTCGATCCCAGCTGTGGCTGAGTTTATTATTCTCGCCTTAAAGCTACAGTGTGTAATAATTACAGGGATATACAGTCAGAAATGTAATATATTATACATAACTATGTTATTTATCATCATCTACGAGCTCAGCCTCTTAACCTTAATATTTGCGTTGCCTTAGAATTCGTTATTTATAATTACATAGGAGCGGGTCTCGCAGCCATGGAGGCAGACATCTTTGCGCTGCGGCAGCGCAGAGCCAACAAACTAGCGATTGCGAGATCGCCCATTACGCTCGAAAGTAACTACGGCAAGTTGAGAGAGATGAACTGAGACGGTACTGAACACACAGACTAATGAAATACTATCTGTAAAATAATCTATGTAAACAAACCTCATCACTTGAGAAGGTAGGTGATGCGGACGTCATGGAAGACATTTTGTCCCGTAACGCTCGCCGTACTGTTGGGGGGGAGAAGCGGTGGGGGGGAGATGTTTATGTTGCTGCAGTCTGCAGTCTGGACGTTAGATGTCGCTGAAAATTACACACTGTAGCTTTAAATGTTTTTCTATTTTTTTTTATCACTTTTTTATTACATTAGACCATAGGGATTATCATTCTACAGCCTCAATATCTTACTGTATATATAGGTCTATTATATTGCATGCCTTATAGCCACAGTGTTTAGATATTTTTATAATTCTATTTACCATATTCCATATTATATGTGTCATGGTCTGGCGGTGTTTGTGAATGAGAGATGGTGCGGCTCGGCTCATGTTCACGTGAAGCAGCAGATATGCAGCCCAGATGTAGAATTACTCGCAGTGAGTTTAAGACTTTATTATCTACCGCGGGAGTTTGGTCACGTGATCGTGCTGTGCGTTTCCAAAGCGTGGTAAACAAGTTTCAGACTAGAGTCTGAGACGGGAGTGGATTTTCACTCCTGTCCCGTCCCACTCCCACAGAAAAAAATTGTGTCCCGTCCAGATCCCGGTGTTATCCCCAAAAGTGAATGCCTGCCGAAATATAAATCCCCAGTCTAAATCAGAACCACTGAATAAATGATAGATTGCATACAATCAGTTGTTAAATGCAGTTCTCTAAAGTAGGGTTTTCCAAAGGGGGTCAAACAAGCCACCAAGGGCCTGATCTTTAAAGATTCCAAATAAGGGGGACAAAAATTAAATTTATTTTTTTTTTAGTTTATGCAATAAGTCGGTGGGTTGGCTTTTCAAATATTAAGATGTGCAAACACTTTCTTTCCACTCCATTAAAATGAGCAGATTGTGTGTTCGACTGGCAGTTGAAAGTGATCACTAAAGGAAGATGAGGTTGTCGGGTTCATAAAATGTAGGTTTTTGCAAAAGAAGAACTGAAATACACAATTATGGATACAATTTCTGCAGAAAGGAGAGACAGTTGAACCCTAGACTCAAACACACTGTCTCCCACTGGACCTCCTCCGCAGAGCATATTATTAACAGAACATGACACATGGTTATAAACAGAGTATTGCTCTGACAGAAGAATTGATCAGTTCATGAAGACAGAATGCTCCATCAGAATGACAAGGCAGGATGGTCTCCTGACTGAATCATGACACAGGAGTGGAGCATCCCCTCGCCCAAATGTTTCATAAACACACATTAATTTTATAATCATCATTGAATAAACCTAACATTCCCTCCTGTTGTGCATATAAACATTAGCACATAGCACTCCTAAAAAGATTTTTACTACATACATTATAAATGCATTGCAGATAGGGAATTCAGTAATCAAAGATCAATATGAAAAACAAAACAAAAATATAAAAAGGATTAAAATGTAAAACTTAAGCAAAAATGTAAGATTTATCAAGAATGTAAAAAGCTTCAAAAATCTGTCCCTTGAGTAGGTAAAAGCCTATTTAAATCTTCAACTCATCCAGAGCAGTCTGTATGAGTACAAACATAACAGTCCGTTTTATTCAAACCTTCAGCTACGCGCTTGGAATGCTGCCACCACATATTGGCACCATAGGGATGACTTGCTGTGGATCCATCAAAAAACATTCTGGTTTTTCCTTTGTTTCTGGCAGTCAGTTTGAGTCCCTAAGAGCACCAGTCCAATGGTCATCATCAGACAGCAGAGCCACTTTAGTTTTCCCATCTTCACCAGTCCCTCCAAGGAAGCACCCACTAACCAGGACGCTAAGGGATTGGGTTAGGTTGGTTTCTTCACCAGCGTTGAGACGAAAAGCTCTAAATTGCTTAACCCCTTTGTAACTGGGCCTCACCACAGATCCCTACCTTAGTCGTGGGGTCCCTGTGAAGGTAACTGGGCTTCCTGTTGGGGAAAGTCTTTAATCAGCTTACAATGACTCTGGTGGATCCAAGTGTCTCTCTCCTGGATCTTCACAGCGGTTGGAGTTGCTAGTTGCACAATGTAGGGTCTTTCACACCTGCCCAATTTTCCCCTTGATGATTTTAATCAGCACTCGGTCTCCAGCCTTCAGGCCTTCCTGTAGGGAAAACAAAAGGAGCTCTGGGCAGATTACATGTTCTTCGCAACATGTGAGACATGCTCTGCAAAAATTTTAGAAGTAGTTATTTAATCCTGCAGTTGGATTAAATACTTGTTGTACTATACTCAATATCCCCCCTCTGGAGACATGATAAACTCATGGCTCAAAATAGCTGCTGCTTTCCATCAGAATCAGAATCAGAAATACTTTAATAATTCCAGAGGGAAATTACTTTTGTTACACGCTCAAGTTACAGTTTTATATATATATATATATATATATATATATATATATATATATATATATATATATATATACACACATCCAACTACACAATATAATAAAGATAAAAAATAAGAATATGAGGGAACTATTGTTTCCACGGGTTGTCTTTAACCCTTAACAGTAGGACACTACAGGTATGAGCCTATCACCATGAGACTGTAACAACACAGAGGTCATATAACTTGCTTAACCGTCAACTATTTGGATGCACGGTTTTTTGATAATTTTACAAAGCTAAGACAGTTGCTGAGAAAAGTTCTACATTCAGCTTTGTGAATTGTTGTCTGCTACTCTGACATACGTAGCTATTAGTGTGTCATAAAAAAAACTTAAGAAAAGCTGAGTTTTTTTTTCATAATGTGGAATCTAAGCCCTGCAGTAATTGCACAATTCTAAAAAGACATTCTTGTAGCTTTTTACCTTCTTCTGAAATAACATGGCCCAAACAACAGACTTATTTCTGCACCCGATAAAATTTTTATAACTGGTTTTATACTGTCCTTTGCTTTACATTTTAGCAGATATTGTTTTATCCTTGGCCTGATTTAGGAACTATTTTAACTGAATCTACAGTTGTCAACAGTCCTACATCAATTCTTCCTGTAGATCACAAAGCATTTGGAGTATCTTTGAAATCATTTTTATCAAATTGTGATAGCAAAGAATGCTGAGTTATTTTAACACATGATAAATCTTGAACCTGGGGTTTTACATTGAACAGAATTTTATAAGGCTGTTTCCATAGTTGGAAAAATAGACATGGAACAGAAAACGCTAAGCAAGTTGTATAAAACACAGAAGGATTTAGTTGCAACACCATTACATGTATTATTCATACAGCCTTCATTCCCCCCAGCGTGGGGAAAATTGCAATGACTAATTTTCCACCAAGTCTCACTTTAACAGATTAATGGGGTGAGTTAGTGATATTACTACAAAAACATGCAACCTTGCAACCTTTTTCCTGTTTGAAGGTCTTCTATTTCTATTGCCCTTGACATGCATTCCTAGGATGTTTGATTATTTGCTGATTTGACAAAGATTAGCCTTTTAGATGGTTTTAGCATTTACATTATCTTTACCACAAGTATTACAGGCTCCTGATTCGCATATAAGTCTAACTGCCTGTCCATTAATTGCTAGAACTATTAATGTTTTTGGGAATGAGCCTGAATGTATCACAGTTGTGTCTGCTGCTTCTCTGGAGTAACTTCCCCCATATTTATTTGTATTTGTATTTTGCTTAATTTTAATTTAACTTAATACTTTTTTGTTGCTTAATTTTAACTTAATTTAACTTAATACTTTTTTGCCCTTTAAGCTGTTGGTAACCTTAACTTCCAGAGGGAGTCTTCCCAAGGGATCAATAAAGTTCTGTCTAAGTCTCTAAGTCTAAATGTTTGGGATCTGCTGCTCTGAAGTGTTTCATTTTTTTATTTACATATTATATTTTTCGTCAACTTTAAGGTCAAAGCAGAAGATCCAGATGATGGAATAAATGGGGAGATCCAATATTCCATTGATTTTGGGAACAGCGACGGATACTTTTCCATCAATGGCGTCACTGGGGAGATCACTCTGGCTAAAACCATCCCACTGGAGGACAACAGGCAGTTGCAGTTCCCTCTTTTCATCACAGCCAGAGACGGTAGATCACATCAGTTTTAGTAGAAAAACCTCAGACACTCCAACCAGGGAGCTAATAGCTGTGATTATTATTCAGCATGTGGATGATTAAAAAATATCCCACACTGCAGAAACAATCTAGAAATAAGTAAAAATGTCTGAAATTATGTATATTTACCCTCAATTTGAGTACATAAATAATATTATAAGCCAAGGGAATGAGTATTTTTACTTGTATAATAAGATTATAGATAATATACTCTTGAGATAAAACTATACATAAATTTTTTCTATTTTAAAAGCAAATTGGTTTTGCTCCATTGGGAAAATGTCTCACTTACCTCTCCGATTAAACAACAAATCTGCATATTTTAAGAAAACTTTCAGTCTTTTGCTGTGTATAATAGTTGGTGTGTAGAAATGTCCTTTAAACTGTTTCAGAGGTGTTGTCATGTTAGGTGTTTTGTTCTCGGTTTGCAAATTTATAGAGGTCATAAAATTGTTATTACAGCCAGTTATAAATCATTTATCTCCTGTTGCAAGAAAGAGTTTATTTATGGATCAGTTTGCTTCCTGATGACAGGAAAGTTTCTGCCTTCCTGTCTTTCGTTATTTTTCTTTTTAAATCCATTTTTACAAAAATTGTGTGAGACAAAACACACACATAAAACAAAAAAAATTCAAATAATTGTCATTTCTGTTTGTCTCTCTCTTCTCTACCAGGAGGTAGATTATCTCGTTCCGCCTCGGCGCAGGTGATGGTTACTGCTCCTGGAACCTTAAAGCCTCAGTTTATAGAAAAACTCTACCATGGCACAGTGGCAGAGGGGCAGGATCCAGGAGTTCACATTCTGAATGTAAGTTCAACATTTCAGCAACAAGTTTTCACACAAATGAAAGCAGAGGTCTTTAGCAAGGCCAGTCGTATTAATCTACACTGTGTGATTGGTATGCTAGGCTGGAAATGAGCCTAATGTCAAAGACAGAGTCAGCTGAAAGAGCTAAAAACCACTTAAATAACAACCATGTGATGCAAAAATATCTTTTAGTTCAAAAGAAAAGCCCGCAGTTGTGGAAATTTAAATTTCTTTTTCAAAAAATAATGGGCATCAATAATATATTGCTCCATTGGAGCTGCAATTTTGACTGTTTTGGTTCTATTAAAAACTGCTGCTGGATTATGGGTAAACTTCTATTTTATAATGGAGAGTATTGAGCCTTACCAGTATGGGGCCACACTAGAGGTCTGTAATGGAAGAGAAAAACTTTTTATATGTGAAAACTTTTGCTGGTTTCAGGTGCGTTTCCTGACCCTTCTCTCCTTATCAGCTACTGATCCAGACGATGGTGCGAATGGGAGAGTCACCTTCAGTATTTCCAAACAAGACCCTCCGTCCGCGCCTGCAGTCTTTGAGCTGGAGGCTGCCAGCAGGGTCCTGAAACTCGCCCAGCCTCTGAACTACAGCCAGGTCAAACAGTTCACTCTGACGGTTCATGCCTCAGACGGCGGCTCGCCCTCACTGTCTGGAAACAGCTCAGTGGTGGTGAAGGTGAAGGACGTCAACAATAACCCTCCTATGTTCAGTAAGGGAAGCTATGAAGTGGAGGTTTCTGAGAACCTGGCAGGAGGCGCATCCATCCTCACGCTGGAGGTCACTGACGCAGATGAGGTTAGTTACCGAAGTTCATGATTAGCAGGGCTGCTGTTATCCTTACCCCACTCTGAAGGGTGATTTATACTCAGAGACCAGGTGGTCTGCATGCCTTTCGCAGTGAATGCAAATGTGCCCCCCACCCCTGCCGCTAACACTCTGGTGCACCTCTTCAAAATTGTAGGTGAGCACCGACAGGAGGCCTCTGATTGGTCAAATCTACATCCACTCTACCCTATGCATATTTCCTGTTTGGTACCTTACCGGCTTGTTTTGTTTGTTTGACCGCCATTGTGGAAAACGACTGGTGAAGTTGAACCACCTAGAAGAGCAGGGTGCGTGAGAACGCTGGGACCCTTTTTCCGCCTGGATCCCCGCTCTTTTTCGCCCTAATTTCCCTCCGTTGTCGCACAAAGTTGCCCACACTTCCTAACCGCCTCGGCCGTATCTAGACCCACAGCTAGTTCCTGAATGTCCCTCTTGCGTTGTGGCGTGGAATAACGTACAGCAGACCACGCTTCAATATTAGGCATAAATCAAAATTGACAGGCTCACAAGGGCACATTTTCATTAACTGCGACTAACATGCAGACAACCTGAGTATAAATCAGCCTTTAAGCCTGCAGACCAACATGCTTCCCTCTAGAGACATTTGCAACTGGACAACCGGTTGCTAAGCTGCACAGGCTCCTATAGGAAACAGGAGCACACTAGAAATCAGTGTGTTTTAAATCATTGTTTTACATCTTTTTTTTACACTAGAAATAAAAATGATATACAAATAAACACTTAATCTTCATTTTGCACAAACCTTTCTCCTGCTGAGTCAGCAGGTTTTCAACTTCAGTCAAATTCACCACAGAATTAAAGCTCCTTTATTGACTATTAATGTTCAGCACATCTTTACTACTGGTTGTATTTACAAGCACCTTTTTATGGTAACTGTATCACCAGGTTGAATAATCCCTCCTCATCAGAAACTCAGTTATACGTTTTTCCAAAAAGGTTAAAAAAAAAAAATCCATTGGACCTTGTTTAAAAGTTTGAAGACGTTTTGCTTCCCATCCAGGAAGCGTTTTTTAGTTCAAAATGTCTGAATTAGCATTGAGTTCCAAGCTTTATAGAGCAGCCCAACAAAACCTTGTTTAGGCTTAGAAAACTGCAAATTGAACCGGAAGAATAGCTCTGGCCCTTAGGAATGAGGAGTTGTAAAGGTCTTTGTTAGCCTTCAATACCCAATACTGGTCTATGCCTCTGAAAGGTGGGGTCAGAGGTTAGAGTCAGTTGTTGCTGTTTGTCTCTCAGATTCGCAGAAGGATTTCATTTCTAAGAAGGAAGTATTACTGTCACTGATGGATGATTAACACACATCTCTTCCTGCTCAGGGTGGATTCTCTAATGGCCACTTCGTCTACACCAGCGATGTTTTTGACATTAATAAACAAAGCGTTGTCTCACTAAAGATAAACTCAGCCTTGGAGTATAATTTGTGGCTAAATAAACAGTTTGGTGGTTTAATGTAGACAATCATTTTCAATATTTTTTTTCCACTCATTACTATGTAATTTACTGCAGTTTACTTTCTTTTGTTCAACTGTTGAAAATATCTGGGGTTATTCTTGAAAACCAAAGGTGGGGCGAATAAAAGTTGTATTATTTAATGATTTTTCTTCTATTCAGGGAGGATTTGTGGGAACCTTGAAAATTCTTCCAGAATCAACCCCCTTCTCCATCAGCCCTGATGGGACGGTCCGAGTGAGAAACCCTGAAGTTCTGGACCGAGAAGTCACCAAAGCATTTGTCTTTCAGGTGAATAGAACTATAGATTATCCCTCAGGATTAGCTCTACTGAGCCACGCCTTTTACTATGTGATGCTTGGTTCTCTCAGATGAGCAAGGATGGATACAAATTATTTGTTTTATTATCCAAGTAACATTTCCACAATTATATACTTGTCAGAACAATATTAAGAACACAAAACATAATAAAATACATAATATTTACATATAATATAGAACGATTACACATTAAAATTCAAATAGGAAAAAGAAAATCTGTCCAACAAAACTTAAGTTGTGAGAAAGATAATGTTATCCGTATTCTTATTTTATGTTTTATTAGCTGAGTTGTTCGTGTGTATGTGTTTCTGGTGGGAGAGAATAAGGGAAAGAGTTGAAAATGTATTAGTAATGTTATATAATTAAATAATTATTAAGAGGTAGAACTAGTCAGAAAAAAAATGGATTTGATGTGTGTTCCAAGCATATGTAGTAGATTATTAAATTCTTTCATAGTGGTATTTGTATATTTTGTCTTGATTTATTTTCTTGTTTTTTTTTATTTGAAAGATTGAAGCAAAGGAGACCGATGCTCCCTACCATAGTGCAACAGCCCAAGTCACCATTAACCTCCTGGATGAAAACGACAACAGCCCAAACTTCACCAGCAGCATGTATGAAGGAAAGGTGTTTGCAAATCAGACGGTGGGGATGCCGGTTGTCCAGGTGAGGCAGTTCACATAAACCTGTGTTTAAATGAAGACATTCAATCTATTCTTCTTTAGTCAGACATCTCATCTTATGTCTAAATCAGAACCACTGAATAACTGATAGATTCCATACAATCAGTTGTTAAATGCAGTTCTCTAAAGCAGAGTTTTCCAAAGGGGGATAAACAAGCCACCAAGGGCCTGATCTTTAAAGATTCCAAATAAGGGGGACAAAAATTAAATAGCTTTTTTTTTTCAGTTCATGCAATAAGTCGGTGGGTTGTGGCTAATCTACAAAGGTGGCTTTTCAAATATTAAGGTGTGCAAACACTTTCTTTCCACTCCATTAAAATTAGCAGATTGTGTGTTCTACTGGCAGTTGAAAGTGATCACTAAAGGAAGATGAGGTTCTAAGCCATGAGGTAATAAATCCCTGTTGTGAGGAGCAGCCTCACACCCCACCCCCAATCCTCATATGTCTCTTTTTTATTTAATGCAATAAGTGGGTAACCTGACTCCGCCAGATGGATTTGCTCCGCATATCCATCTGGAAACCTTCCACTGAAGTAATTTTGGGTAGGGGCGAAAATACTGGTTAGCTGATTGGTTTATGTTGGTGATAGACGGGCCAAATAAACCAATCAGATCAACGAAGCAAATAAAATGCTAATAGAGCAACGACGAAGAGGAGCCAATTGATAGATCAAAATCTTGCCGAAACCAGTCGCGAGAAAAGCAAAAACATCGTTTTCTCTGAGAAAAGCCTCCAGAGCAGTGTTTTGCTCTTCTTTCAGTGAAGAAATACTCTGTAATTCCGATAAAACTTGCTCGATAGCCACGCTGACGCTAGTTTCATCGGCTGAAGCAGCCATGTTCTTTAGACTGAACTGTAGCGCTTCTCGTTGCGTCACACCTCAACCCGCCTCAAAGCCAACGCTGATTAGACGTTCGCTTGGTGAACGGCTCCAAATTTTCTTTAACGGAGAGTCAGACTGATCTGCGAGTGAAACCTTGAAAGCTCGCAAGATCTGGATGGTCTCACGAGGCTAATAAGTGGGCAGGTTGCGGCTAATTTACAAAGATTGCTGTTCAAATTCTAAGACATGTACACCAGTTTGTTTCAACTCCATTAAAATGAGCAGATTGAGTGTTCTACTGCCAATCGAAAGTGATCGCTAAAAGAAAATGAGGTTCTAAGTCATGAGGGAATAAAGCCTTGTTGTGAGGAGTAGCTTTCCGTAGCCTTGCACCCCACCTATTTTAAGGGCTATTATATTTTTTTATTTTAACCAACATAGACACAAAACACCTATCGTTACGTGTACACTTTGGAGTCTCCAACTTCAGGTCCTCGCACGCACCGGATACCCAGATGTCGTATCCGTCAAATATCCCTGCTGCGGCAGCTGCAAACCTTACTATCTTGAGAACAACATAGAGTCCCATACTCTAACGCACAGAATACCCAGATGCCATATCCGTCAACAAGACTTGGTCTCGTCAAATATTCTTGCGATTACAGCTGTAACTTAAATCGTCCTAGACCAACTTTTGATAAAAAGCTTCAGGCTTACCCTTTTTCGTGTAGAATCAGTTCCTCTGGAGTCGTCACCAAGATGCCCAGGGCAGGGTTGGACCAAACTGGCCCCGTCCGGCGAAGGGAGGATGGCTGTCGACAGATTCTTGGCCTTGGTCCCACACGGTCCTGGACAATTGGATCTTGACTCCCAGGTTTTGGCACCAAAATGTCGGGTTCATAAAATGTAGGTTTTTGCAAAAGAAGAACTGAAATACACAATTATGGATACAATTTCTGCAGAAAGGAGAGACAGTTGAACCCCAGACTCAAACACACTGTCTCCCACTGGACCTCCTTCGCAGAGCATTTTATTAACAGAACATGACACATGGTTATAAACAGAGTATTGCTCTGACAGAACAATTGATCAGTTCATGAAGACAGAATACTCCATCAGAATGACAAGGCAGGATGGTCTCCTGACTGAATCATGAGACAGGAGTGGAGCATCCCCTCGCACAAATGTTTCATAAACACACATTAATTTTATAATCAGCATTGAATAAACTTAACAGAGGTTTTAAGCCATGAGGTAATAAAACCCTGTTGTAAGGAGTAGCCCGGCACCCCACCGCCAATCCTCACGTGTCTCTTTTTTATTTAATGCAATAAGTGGGCAGGTTGCAGGTAATTTACAAAAATTGCTATTCAAATTCTAAGACATGCACACCAGTTTGTTTCCACTCCATTAAAATGAGCAGATTGTGTGTTCTACGGCCAATTGAAAGTGATCGCTAAAGGAAAATGAGGTTCTAAGCCATTAGGGAATAAAGCCTTGTTGTGAGGAGTAGCTTTCCTTAGCCTTGCACCCCACCCCTAATCCTCACATGTCTCTTTGCAGGCTCTTTAAATATTTTATATTGTTATAAACATGTTGATTATTTAAATTAGTTTTTGTTGTTGTTGTTTTGGTTTAAGTGTATAAAGATGGTATGTATTGCATTATATAAATTTGTTGTAGGCTGTACTAAAGTTTTTTCTTTATTAATATTATTTTACCATTGATATAAGAATCTCTTTCCACCATCTTGCTTTGTACTATGTCTCTTTTGTGGCCAAAAAGACCAGAGATATATTTGTGTGTTAATTTGTAACTCACTTTCAAAACTTCTAAAAGCGACGCAAAAACTGCAGTTGAGTTTCCAATTTAGAAAATCACTTTCAATTTGGTAGGCTAAATGTTTAAATTAGCATAGCCATTACCAATGAATATGAGCAATTTGGTCATTAGAATATTATCTGAATATTAGTAAAGGCAAACAACCAAAGGTTTACACAAGCGGTTTGCTAATTCATAAATGCAAACCACCTCAGGCACTCAACTCAGCTTTATTTATAAAGCCCCGTGACAGAATGCTCTACATACCAATTAAAGTTTAAATTGTATAAAAAAGTTAAATAGAATAAAACAAAGAAATTAAATTGATTAAAACAAATAAAACCATTAGTTTTTTTAACGTAGATGTAGATTTGTTTATTCAACTAATACACGATTCTAACATTAAATCTACAGTTGAATTCAAAAAGTCACAATAAGATCATTCAGTTTCCCATTAAATAAATAAGAATACATTAAAATGATTATTTAATTTAATTTAAATAATTTTTAAAAATTGAACATAATTTTTTAACTGTATATACACTGCCTGGCCAAAAAAAAAGTTGCGTCCAAAAAAACAGGTCACTCACTCTAATACTTTGTTGCACCGCCTTTAGCTTTGATTACGCCCCGCATTCGCTGTGGCATTGTTTCGATAAGCTTCTGCAATGTCATAAGATTTATTTCCATCCAGGGTTGCATTAATTTTTCACCAAGGTCTTGCAGTGATGATGGTAGAGTCTGACCGCTGCGCAAAGCCCTCTCTAGCACATCCCAAAGATTCTCAATGGGGTTGAGGTCTGGACTCTGTGATGGTCTATCCATGTGTGAAAATGATGTGTCATGCTCCCTGAACCAGTCTTTCAGTGACCCTGATGAATCCTGGCATTGTCATCTTGGAATATGCCTGTGCCATCAGGAAAGAAAAAGTCCATTGTTGGAATAACCTGGTCATTCAGTATATTCAGGTAGTCAGTTGACCTCATTCTTTGAGCACATACTGTTGCTGAACCTAGACCTGACCAACTGCAGCAAACCAGATCATAACACCGCCCCCACAGGCTTGTACAGTAGGCACTAGGCATGGTGGGTGCATCACTTCACCTGCCTCTTTTCTTTCCTTGATTCGCCCATCACTCTGGAACAGGGTAAATCTGGACTCATCAGACCACATGACCTTCTTCCATTGCTCCACAGTCCAATCTTTATACTCCCTAGCAAATTGAAGCCTTTTTTTCCAGTTAGCCTCACTGATCAGTGGTTTTCTTACGGCTACACAGCTGTTCAGTCCCAATCCCTTGAGTTCCCTTCGCGTTGTGCGTGTGGAAATGCTCTAACTTTCAGTATTAAATATAGCCCTGAGTTCTACTGTTGTTTTTCTTCGATTTGATCTCACCACACGTTTAAGTGTGATCCCCACTATCCTTCCAGTTTTTAATAATACGTTGGACAGTTCTTAACCCAATTTTAGTAGTTTCTGCAATCTCTTTAGATGTTTTCTCTGCTTGATGCATGCCAATGATTTGGCCCTTCTCAAACAGACTTACATCTTTTCCATGACCACAGGATGTGTCTTTCGACATGGTTGTTTAGGAAATGAGAAGCAAGTCATTGCAAGATAATCGCCCATGCAGTAATTATCCAATAGGAGGCTCCTACCTATTTGCTTAGTTGAATCCAGGTGGTGACCTTTTTTTTGGCCAGGCAGTGTATAAATATAGCAGGTTTATTTCTAAGTATTTTTAGTTTAGGGGGTCACCAGTTTGTATTGTTATTTTTTGAGTTATAGGCTGAAATGCTTGCGATCTGCTGCTCTGAAGTGTTTCTTTTTTTTAATTTACATATAATATTTTTTATCAACATTAAGGTCAAAGCAGAAGATCCAGATGATGGAATAAATGGGGAGATCCAATATTCCATTGATTTTGGGAACAGCGACGGATATTTTTCCATCAATGGCGGCACTGGGGAGATCACTCTGGCTAAAACCATCCCACTGGAGGACGACAGGCAGTTGCAGTTCCATCTTTTCATCACAGCCAGAGACGGTAGATCACATCAGTTTTAATAGAAAAACCTCAGACACTCCAACCAGGGAGCTAATAACTGTGATTATTATTCAGCATGTGAAGGATTAAAAAATATCCCGCACTGCAGAAACAATCTAGAAATAAGTAAAAATGTCTGAAATTATGTGTATTTACCCTCAAATTGAGTAGATAAATAATACAGGTGCTGGTCATAAAATTAGAATATCATGAAAAAATAGATTGATTTCAGTAATTCCATTTAAAAAGTGAAACTTGTATATTATATTCATACATTACATACAAACTCATATATTTCAGATGTTTATTTTGTTTAATTTTGATGATTACAAATGACAACAAATGAAAATCTCAAATTCATCATATCAGAAAATTAGAATATTACTGAAGACCAATAAAAACAAAGGATTTATAGAAATGTTGGCCAACTGAAAAGTATGAACATGAAAAGTATGAGCATGTACAGCACTCAGTATTTAGTTGGGCCTCCTTTGGCCTGTATTACTGCAGCAATGCGGCGTGGCATGGAGTCGATCAGTCTGTGGCACTGCTCAGGTGTTATGATAGCCCAGGTTGCTCTAATAGTGGCTTTTAGCTCTTCTGAATTGTTGGGTCTGGTGTATTGCATCTTCTTCTTCACAATACCCCATAGATTTTCTATGGGGTTAAGGTCAGGAGAGTTTGCTGGCCAATTAAGAACAGGGATACCATGGTCCTTCAACCAGGTACTGGTAGCTTTGGCACTGTGTGCAGGTGCCAAGTCCTGTTGGAAAATGAAATCTGCATCTCCAAAAAGTTGGTCAGCTGCAGGAAGCATGAAGTGCTCTAAAACTTCCTGGTATGTGGCTGCGTTGACCCTGGACCTCAGAAAACAGAATGGACCAACACCAGCAGATGACATGGCACCCCAAACCATCACTGACTGTGGAAACTTTACACTGGACTTCAAGCAACGTGGATGAAGTGCCTCTCTTCTTTTCCTCCAGACTCTGGGACCTTGATTTCCAAAGGAAATGCAAAATTTACTTTCATCAGAGAACATGACTTTGGACCACTCACCAGCAGTCCAGTCCTGTTTCTCTTTAGCCCAGGCAAGACGCTTCTGACGCTGTCTGTGGTTCAAGAGTGGCTTGACACAAGGAATGCGACAGCAGAAACCCATGTCTTTCATACGTCTGTGTGTGGTGGTTCTTGAAGCACTCACTCCAGCTGCAGTCCACTCTTTGTGAATCTCCCCCACATTTTTGAATGGGTTTTGTTTCACAATCCTCTCCAGGGTGCGGTTATCTCTCTTGCTTGTACACTTTTTTCGACCACATCTTTTCCTTCCCTTCGCCTCTCTATTAATGTGCTTGGACACTGAGCTCTGTGAACAGCCAGCCTCTTTAGCGATGACCTTTTGTGTCTTGCCCTCCTTGTGCAAGGTGTCGATGGTCGTCTTTTGGACAACTGTCAAGTCAGCAGTCTTCCCCATGATTGTGTAGCCTATAGAACTAGACTGAAAGACCATTTAAAGGCTTTTGCAGGTGGTTTGAGTTAATTAGCTGATTAGAGTGTGGCACCAGGGGCCATCAATTTTGAACCTTTTCACAATATTCTAATTTTCTGATATGATGAATTTGAGATTTTCATTTGTTGTCATTTGTAATCATCAAAATTAAACAAAATAAACATCTGAAATATATGAGTTTGTATGTAATGTATGAATATAATATACAAGTTTCACTTTTTAAATGGAATTACTGAAATCAATCTACTTTTTCATGATATTCTAATTTTATGACCAGCACCTGTATGAATAGCCAGATAAGTATTGAGATAAAACTATACAATTATTTTTTCTTTATATTTTCAAAGCAAATTGTTTTGCTCAATTGGCAAAGTGTCTCACTTACCTCCCCAATTCAACAACAAATGCAAATTGCAAATTTATAGAGGTTATAAAATAGTTATTGCAGCCAGTTGTAAATCATTTACCTGCTGTTGCATGACAGAGTTTATTTATGGATCAATTTGCTTCCTGATGACGTTTTTGTTTTTCGTTTTTTTCTTAAATCCATCTTTAAAAGCATGTGTGAGACAAAACACACACATAAAACAAAAAATATCCAAATCATTTTCATTTGTTTGTCTCTCTCTTCTCTACCAGGAGGTAGATTATCTCGTTCCGCCTCAGCAGAAGTGATGGTTACTGCTCCTGGAACCTTAAAGCCTCATTTTTTAGAAAAACTCTACCAAGGCACAGTAGTGGAGGAGCAGGATCCAGGAGTTCACATTCTGAATGTAAGTTCAACATTTCAGAAACAGGTTTTCACACAAATGAAAGAAGAGGTCTTTAGCAAGGCCAGTCGTATTAATCTACAATGTGAGCTTGGTATGCTAGCCTGGAAATCAGCCTGATGTCAAAGGCTGGAGTAACAGAGTCAGATGAAAAAGCTTAAAACCAATCAAATAACGACCATGTGATGCAAAAATATCTGTTATTTTAAAAGAAAAGCCTGTAGTTGTTGAAATTTTAATTACATAAACATTTCCTTCGGAAAAAATAATGGGCATCAATGAAATATTGCTCCATTGAAGCTGCAATTTTGACCGTTATGGTTCTATAAAAAAAAAGTGCTGCTGCATTATGGGTAAGCCTCCCACTTTGATTTTATAATGGAGAGTATTGAGCCTTACCAGTGTGGGGCCACACTAGAGGTCTGTAATGGAAGGCAAAAGCTTTTGATATGTGAAAATTTTTGCTGGTTTCAGGTGCGTTTCCTGGCAATCCCTCCTGAGACTGTGACCCTTGCAGTTACAAAGGAAGGCGACAAGTTCTCCATCTCATCAAGCGGTGAAGTCAAAACCAAAGTGAAGCTGGATTACGATGAAGCTCCACACAACTATTCAGTGGAGATCTCCATCAGTGACGGCACCACCAGTGACACTGCAGTTGTGAAGGTCGAAGTCACTGACATTAACGACAACAACCCTGAATTTGCCTCCAATGTGTCCAAGTCTGTCCCAGAAAATGCAGAGGTTGGATCCAACGTCGCGGAAATCAAAGCCACAGACAAAGACAGCGGCTTCAACAAGGAGATCAGATACTCCCTGAGAGGAGGAGAGGGGAGGTTTTCCATCGACCCTGTTTCTGGGTTGGTAAGCTTGGCCGCTCAGCTTGACAGGGAGACGACGGCGGAGTACGAGCTCCTGGTGGTGGCTGAAGATCAGGGTCGTCCTGCCAGGTCTGCCACCGCCACGCTGCAGGTCCAAGTGACGGACGTCAACGATAACCCACCCAAGTTCTCTGAGCAGGAGTATCAGCTAGAGGTCTTAGAAACAGAGTCGGTGGGAGCGACCCTTCACTCCTTATCAGCTACTGATAAGGACGACGGTGTGAATGGGAGAGTCACCTACAGTATTTCCCAGCAAGACCCTCCGTCCGTGCCTGCAGCCTTTGAGCTGGAGGCTGCCAGCGGGGTCCTAAAACTTGCCCAGCCTCTGAACTACAGCCAGGTCAAACTGTTCACTCTGACGGTTCATGCCTCAGATGGCGGCTCGCCCTCACTGTCTGGAAACAGCTCAGTGGTGGTGAAGGTGAAGGACGTCAACAATAACCCTCCTATGTTCAGTAAGGGAAGCTATGAAGTGGAGGTTTCTGAGAACCTGGCAGGAGGCGCATCCATCCTTACGCTGGAGGTCACTGACGCAGATGAGGTAAGTTACAGAGGCTGCTGTTAGCCTTATCCCAATCTGAAGGCTGATTTATACTCAGAAACCAGGTGGTTGCGTGCCTTTCACAGTGAATGCAAATGTGCCCCCCACCCCTGCCGGTAACACTCTGGTGCACCTCTTCAAAATTGTAGGTGACCGCAGACAGGAGGCCTCTGATTGGTCAAATCTACATCCACTCTACTCTATGCGTATTTCATGTTTGGTACCTTACCAACTTGTTTTGTTTGTCTGACCACCATTGTGGAAAGCGACTGGTGAGAGATGGACCAGCTAGAAGAATGAGGTGCGCGAGAACGCTGGGACCCTTTTTCCACCTGGATCCCCGCTGTTTTTGGCCCTCATGTCCCTCCGTTGTTGCACAAAGTTGCCCCCATATCCTCACCGCCTCAGCCGTATATAGACCCACAGCTAGTTCCAAGCTTTATAGAGCAGCCCAACAAAGCCTTGTTTAGGCTTAGAAAACATGCAAACCGAAAGAACAGGTCCGCACCTTAGAAATGGGGAGTTGTAGAGGTCTTTGTAAGCCTGCACTACCCGATACTGGTCTATGCCTCTGAAAGGTGGGAGTCGTAAGGGGTCCCCTGCATGGTGATGAGGATTGAGATGATAGCAAGGAAGAAAGGAATAGGAAGGAATCAACTCTATCGCTGCTTTGTTGTTGCTGAGTTGATTACTTCCTGCTATTATAATTCTAACATTTTTGGAATGATTATGACCTGAATGACTGAGAATCTTCATCACCATCTGTTGCATGTTAATTAGCTGTGGGATAGGATCTGAGGGGTCAGAGGTTAGAGTCACTTAGGGTTACAGAGGAGTAGCAACAGATGCCATAAAAGTGTTTCATAATGAAGAATTGATTTGCTGGAACTGTTGCTGTTTGTCTCTCAGATTCGCAGAAGGATTTCATTTCTAAGAAGGAAGTATTACTGCTTAGTCGCTGATGGATGATTAACACACATCTCTTCCTGCTCAGGGTGGATTCTCTAATGGCCACTTCGTCTACACCAGCGATATTTTTGACATTAATAAACAAGGGGTTGTCTCACTAAAGATAAACTCAGCGTTGGACAGAGAGACACGGGACAGCTACAGTTTACAGGTGAGGGGGTTTCTTCTGTATAGCATGTGTTTTGGTTTTCCTGTAATGTCTACAATTATTGAAAATAAAACCGCATTTCAGATTTACGTTTATGAATCATGAGCGTTTATCTACTGGGTCTATATAATAATAAAAAACATATTTTAATGTTCAAATACACAGGTCCCAAATCATGAAATCCAATATTTTTTGGCACTTTTTTAAACCTAAACACTGACGTTTCCTCATTCTTTTCACACCTGGTGCCTATGTGCAGCATCGTACCTCCAGTCCTTTTCTTGTTATAAATAAAGTTAAGTAACATTTAAATAAGTTCAAGTTTTTTACATGAAATAAACAATAAAATAAAGGAAAAATTAAAGCAGAATTAAAGCAAGTAAAGATAAAAACAGGTAGTAAAGCAAATAAAACAGTCGGGACCACAAAATTAAACCGATGAAACCTCAGTTAACAGTTTAAAATATAAGTCAAAAGAAATAAAATAACCGAATTAGAACACCTGTTTTTGCAGCCAGTGCATGGAAATCTGCAAAGTCATAATACAGTACAAGACCCCTTTACCTCAGGCATCCAAAATGGAGAATTGATTCTACACTGTTAATTATTAATTCAATTGAATTCAATTCAGTTTATTTATATAGCGCCAAATTCACAACACATGGAGAGGAAAAACTCCCCTTTAACAGGAAGAAACCTCCAGCAGATCCAAGTTTTTAGTCCAGGTTTTTATGTCTTAAAGACATGCCTGTAATTTATGTAATGGGTTAGCTTCATCTGGAGTTATAGACAGATATAGCTGGGTATCATCAGCATAACAGTGAAAATTAATCCCCTGCTTTCTAATAATTCTACCGATTGGGAGCATGTATGTATAAAGTAAAGAGAATTGGTCCTAGCACTGATCCCTCTGGTAGTCCTCAGGTAACCTTTGAGCATGTGGAACATTTGTCATAAATGTGAACAAACTGAAATCGATCAGATAGATACGATTTAAACCAGTCTAGTGCTGTTCCTTTAATTCCAACAAAATATTAAAGTCTTTCTAAAAGAATATTATGGTCAACTGTATCAAATGCAGCACTGAGATCCAACAGGACGAGCACAGATACATGAGGCCATGAGAATATCATTAGTGACTTTCACCAGAGCTGTTTCAGTGCTATGATGAGCTCTAAAGCCAGACTGAAACTCTTCAAAAAGTTCATTATGGTGGAAGTGATCGCAAACTTGTTTGGCAACTACTTTCTCAAGAATTTTAGATAAGAAAGGAAGATTGGATATAGGTCTATAATTGACCAAGTCATCTGGGTCAAGAGACGGTTTCTTAAGCAGAGGTTTAATTACAGCAACCTTAAAAGCTCTAAGCGTTGAGCCATTTTACCAACTATTCATTATACATCTTTCCTTCAGCTGTTCGACATATGGTGTTATTATCGGTGGAAAAAGGACTTTATAGTCATCCAAGTTGGCAGAGAACTACAGGTTAAAAAAAACAAGCTTCACCCTATTTCCCCTCCACCACATGGGAGAGATAATAAAGCATTTGAGGTGCGGATATGCTGTCACTCTGCATTACAGGAAGCAGAAATCCCAGCCCTGGCCTTGTCTGCTCAAAGCACCTTCTCTGTTGGCCATAGATCATTTAGATGCAGCTTTTATTGCCGTATTGTTTTTTTCCAAAGGCATTTTTTCTCTTAGCAACTCTTCCAAACAAACTGTACCTGTTCCTTCTTTTTATTGTCCTGTTGTTAATTGTGAAATCTGACACACTGAGACTTGTAGAGCTAGAGCTCTTGGATTATTATTATTGTATTTTTTTTTTTTTTTTTGTCATTTCTATCAGCGTTGCATGTTTGGACTTCACTTTCTTTCAATCCTCTTTTTTAATTTAATTTAAATATTTTTTCTTACTGTAGAATAGCTAGTAACATTTGTTTGTGTGACGTGTTGAGGGCAGCAGTACCTCGCCCAGTTTGGACTTAGTACAGAGGAGTGTTTATCTCTGGCAGCTGTATATCCATAAAGTTTTTGGCTTTCCTCAACTTTATTAAATAAACAGCTTAAGGACACAAATGTGTAGATAAACAAGTATCCAGTAATACTGATAAACTTTCCACCCGCTGCACACTTACTGTGATAACATGAGCTGTACGTCTCAGAGAATCTCTGCAGTGTTATTCCTTTTTGATTTGTTTTGTTTTTGTTTTACTTTAACAAAATCTTTTTTTCATTTTCAGTATAAATATATTTCCCAGTAAAGTTTAAGGCGTAAATCCTTCCTCTTTCAGGTTGTAGCTGTGGATCAGGCGAGCGGCGGTCTGAGCGCCACAGCTCAGCTCAAAATTACCGTCCTTGACTATAACGACAACAGCCCACAGTTCCCAAGCATCCCTTACCCCTTAGAGTTCCCTGAGGGGGATTATTCAGAAGAGAAACCAGGGGAAATATTCACCATCGTGCCCACAGACGCAGACATCGGTCCGAATGGAGAGGTCACCCTCTCGCTTGCCTCCCACAACCCCCTCTTCAGATTCAGAGAGGTGAGTCTTTGAGGTTTAGTTCATATTTAGAATAGAATAGAATAGAATAGAATAGAATAGAATAGAATAGAATAGAATAGAATAGAAAATCCCTTTGTTGTCCCACAATGGGGAAATTCTGGTGTTTACAGCAGAAAAAAGATTATAGAAAAAATTGTTACACAAATGTGGACCTTAGAAAAATGTCTAACAATAACATTATAGTGAAGAGTTAAAAGATAAACAATAAAATACTGTAAAGTGTTCTAACAATATAAAACTGTGCACCTGGAGAATAAATAACCAATAAACAGCAATGGACATTTTTACAGTAATGGATATTTGAAAATAGCAGCAACATCAGAGATGTAAAAATGACAGCAGCATGGTTATAAAGTTCTCAAATTTCAGCAAAAAGCCAGAGATTTCTCTTAAAATGAATGTTGTTGTTTCCAGGTTTGTGGATCTTGATGAGGTGTCTTGTTTTACAGGATGGGATGCTGTTGGCTGTTGGTTCTTTGGACCGAGAAAGCATTGAAACATATGACCTGGTTCTAAAGGCCTCAGATAAAGGCAGCCCTCAGAAAGAGGTGAGAGATGGCTGCAATTCAGCCTCCATTTAGAGGAAAAGTCCGGTCAGTAAGGAATAATCAATTGATCATTATGCATACCTAAAACGACTAGAAAAAGCTGTTTCGGAGAAACAGCAAAGTGGGAATGCTTTTTTATGCTGAATGAAAAAAGAAAAATTACCTAAAGAAACTACATAAAGGAAAATAAACAGAAAATACCGGAAGAACATATGAAAATGCAATAGGAAGTAATCAGAAACCTTAAACAGCAGAAAACAGTAGAATCATCTGAAGATTTGGTAGGGTAGAATCATTTGGCAGAATAATAGCAGAAACACACTCATCTTAAAAGCAAAATATTTAAAGTTTTTTAAACAGAAGAAAAAGTCCAAAAGTATCTGTTTACCTGGAAGTTGACAGGAGTACAGCATCTGCTTACGAGGTTAGCAGATGCTTTATTACAGTGGAAATGTTAGAGCTACATTATTAAATGTGCACTTAGGTGTATTGTCAACAGGCCTTGGTAGTGTAATTTAAAGAAATTGCTTGAGTTCGGGTCATAGATACGGACCATATGGCACAATGAATCAGTGTGCATAAGGAGGAGGCTTTTATTTTGTAGAGTCCCTATAGTCTTATTTTGAAAGTCTACCATGGATGTGTGTCAAGGGAAGGGTCATGCCCAGCAGTGACATAGAATCCATTTCAATATGTGAAATCACTGGTTTTTCATGTTATGGATAAATAGATGCTGTATTAGAGTGTAAATGGGAGACTTTTATTGTGAAATTTGCTCTGGGTTGTGTTTTTTAAAAGGTCCCTAGAGTCTAATAGAAAACAAGCTGGTGGAGTTTGGGTCATAATGCTGAGCCATTTGCATCAATTAATACACGAGTATAATATAGAGGCTTTTATTTTTTAGGGTCACTGGAGTCTTATTTTGAAAGTCTAGCAGGGTTGTGTGTTGAGAAAAGTGTCAGAACCAGCAGTGATACTGGATGACTTTCCAATCGGTAAATCACTCTTTTCCTCTGTTATTAGGGCAGTAGATGAAGTGGCAATGGGAGGCTTTTATTTTGAAATTTGCTGTTGGGTGTGTTTTGAAAAGCCCCCTAGAGTCTAGTTTTAAAAAGTGTTTGAGTTTGGGTCATAATGTTGAGCCATATGCTGGGAAAAAATATGAGTTTAATGTAGGGGCTTTTATTTTGAAAGTCTACCAGGGTTGTGTGTGAAGGGAAGGGTCATGGCCAGTAGTCATACAGTATCCATTTCCAAATGTTAAATCAGTGTTGTCTCCCTCCATTAGATTAAAATGTGCTGTTTAAAGTGGCAGAGCTAAAATCCCTTTAAAGCCCGGTTACCTTGACAACTCTTAACAAGCCTGTCAGTGACAGAGAGAAAATCGCTGCATTATCATTCCTTTCCTCTTAGGCTTTTTTGAATGGGAAAAACAGCTCAGAAAAAACGAGTGCTGAAGACAAACCGAAAATAGTATCTAAAAAATTCTTTCAGTCTAAGCGACAGCTATCCTTTGTCTCAGACTGGGGTAACTTTCATGGCTGTAGCTCATTCACAACCTTAATGATAAGGAGAAATAGAAAGGTTTGTCACACCTGCTGGTCTCATTAAATAACATGCAGCTCCATGGTAGAGCTGAGCTCTCAAAAGCAAAACTTCCCCTCCGAACAAACGAGTGGTGAGCCAAAACCATAAAAGGTATTTTAAAAATTCTTTCACCGTTGGCATCAGCCATCCTTCGGCTTCGACTGTGCCAACTTTCATGTTTCTACTAAAAACTATTTGGCCACAGTAACGATGTAAAAATTTGTTTTTTATGAGTATGAGGAATTTTCTCAGAATCAACGTTTTCCTATGCCCGAACAAGTCAGCTAAACAGCTAAACCATAAATGATATTGAAAAAATGATTTCAATGTGAGTGCAAGAAGGGTCTGAAGATGTTCTATACCAAGTTTCATGTTTGTACATCAAACAGTTTAGAAATGGGAGCGATACGAAAACATATGTCGTGTTGGATTTTCAGATGTGATTTTTGGAAACTCTCTCATTGAATTTCTATTGGGGAAGTGTGGACTTCTTCGTGGTCTGGGCCAAACTGCAGGAAAACTGTAAATGCCACACAAATGAGGGTTACATTTCCTGAATCCTGAGAAAAATCCCTACGTTTTGATGTAAAATGTATTTCAATTGAGAGAAAAATGAGGGAGTGAGAAGAATTTGTTTGGAAAAATCAGAAAAGCTCAAAAGCTAGAGCACGCACTCTGACAGTTGAAGAATGCCGTCCATAGACTTCCATTATAAATCTGAAAATCTTTACATTTTCTTTTAAAGTTTGAAGCATCACAGAAGCAAAACTGTAAAAGTTAGAAAAAGCCGACTTAAAGAGTAATAGCAGAAAGATACGGAAACATTTTAAAAGTTGAATGGTGTTTCTAGCTGAAAGTATGCTGAAGTAGTTAAAAGTCAAAGATTATGTTTTAACTGAATTTTGCCTAAATGTAAGAATTCTACATGCATTTCAATGGGACAAAAAAAACACAGAAAAAGCTGAATATCGCGAAAATTACAAAAATATCTTTATCAAAAGACATAGCAGGATTCTCCTGAACAAGCTGAACGTTTTGATACCAAGATTGTTGAAATCAGTTGAAAACTGCGGGGCTAGATAGAGTCAGAAAAATAAAAAGAGAAAAACAATAAGTGGGAATGCATAAGCATAGGTGGCAGTAGTGCTCTTTGACAACCATGGATGTCTCTAGTAAAACACATTAAAAAGAAAATTACTCTTAATTAAAAACACTTTAATTGATTGAACAGTATGTAATAATTTTATATTTAAAGTACTTTCAGAAGTTTGAATGCTAAATATGACCAAACTTTTCCTTTAAATGGTTGATTCATGGTTTTATTATCAATTCGTACAATCTGGTCTTATTTTGTTCCTACTGCACTCATAGTGACACAAGCCAATAGAGAGTCTAGCTGGTCCGAGCAGCCATTCTGTGTCAGTGTGCAAACCACTGTGTTAAATCAAACCTTGTGTTCTAGAATATCGCCACTATCAGAGTGAGCCTCACCGACGTCAATGACGAAAGACCGCAGTTCAACCCCAGCAGCTACCACAGCAGCATCCTGCAGAAAGACGCAGAGAAGGGGAAGCTGCTGCTGACGCTGAGCGCCTCGGATCCCGACGCCGGGAACAACTCGCTCATCACCTACAGGTTTGCTCAAAGCTTTATGTTCACTAAAGACCACATCTGTAGGCCAACAGTAAGTATGGAATTATGGTGAATCCAAAAAATAAATAAAAAAACAATCCACTGGACTTTTTCCAAATTTGAAGATGTTTTGCTTCCCATCCAGGAAGCTTTTTAAATTCAAAATGTCAGAAATAGCGTTGATATCGAAGTTTTATACAGTAGCCAAGCAAAGCCATGGTTTTGTTTAGAAAACATGCAAATTGAAACAGACGAACAGGTCCAACCCTTTGAAACCCCATCACTGGAGAGCAGAAGACCACGCCTGTTCAGCCAGGCCAACAATTCCCTTGAACGACCCCCTTTTAAGAGACATAGACAGGTATTGTGCATTGCTGGCTAGCAAAAGAAGTCAAACGACCCCCATTCCAAGGGATGAACCTGCTTGTCTGCTTCGATTTGCGTGTTTTCTAAACAAAAACAGGCCTTTGTTGGGCTACTGTATAAAACCTCAAACTCAACGCTATTTCTGACGTTTTGAATTTAAAAACCTCCTGGATGGGAAGGGAAACGTCTTCAAACTTGTAAACAAAGTCTAGTGGATTGTTTTTTTTACTTTTTTGGAATTACTTTGAATTGGATGACTGGGAATGTACACCAGCGAATTATGGTGAACTACATTTAAAGCGCTCTTAGTTTGATAAATAAATAAACTTTATCCCCCTCTCTTGTAATACCCCTCAATTAAAGTCCAACTGATTTGCTTCAGAAATGCCAAATCAGCAAACAGAATCCATCTGTATGAAATGTGAATGTGAATGGATTAAAAATAAGTAGCTTTAACATTTATTTATTATTTTGTGTCTTTCTTTTTCATTGTATTTATTTATATACAACGTGATTAAAACATTGTTATTATTATATTTTAAAATTCAGCATTAAATAATTAAATTACCAATTAAATAAATAAAAATTTTATTCAAAAATGAATTAAATTATTACGGTAAATGTCTTTTAAAGAAATAAATCTAATTAAAAGTCAATATAGTTAGTTTATATCTATAAATAAACACAGAAAGGTTATTTTATGTATTTTGGGGGAATTTCCAGTATGTTGCATTTCTATTGTTTTTAAATATTTGGGAGCCTCTGTGTTAGAGACTGAGGGGCAAAGTGATAAAGCTGCTAAAATTTAATACAGACATATTAAATCAACACCAAATTAATCATCGTTCCCAAATTTTTGTCTGCTCAAATTTCTATCCAATCAGAATGAGCTTTACGGAGGACGAAAGCTGACATCATTTAAAATAAAAGCAGAAACATATAGATTTTATATTATTTACCTTTTCTTTTCCATATTCTTGTATTTTTCATCAGAAAATTTGATAGATTCTCTTTTTCCATTCCTGCTCTAAATTCTCTCCCTTTTTTTTCCTTTATGATTTTTTGATCATTATTCATGATGAGCTTTTGCTGCGTAGAACAGAAAACATGTTAAAGACATGAAAACTAAATACCTCACTACAACCAAACATGGTTTAGAAAAAGCAATGTTTCATCAAAGATCAAAACACTTTATATTTTGAGATATTTATGTTAAAACATTCGGAAAACTGATAATTATGTTCTGTCATTTCCACAGCTCCTTATTACTTTGTGTTTCTTTGTCACATAGCAGCTAAATAGGCCCTCTCCAAGGTCCTGTAGTTCAAATACATAAACTTCTTATTGAATTAACTTTTCACTTTCTTATTAAAAAACATGTTCTAATCAGGGGCGTTTTCTTTTTTTTGGGATTACAGATTTTCTGAAGGAAATTCCAAATATTTGGCTCTAAACAGTGAAACAGGGGAAGTGACACTGACCTCTGACCTTTCTGATGTGACTGAAGACACCAGATTGCTGCTGACCGCTGAGGCCACGGATCATGGCACTCCTCCGCTCAGCGCCACGGGTTAGCACCGTTGCTCTTGCTTGGATTTTATTTATTTTTTTGATGAATGAGGACATAGCTGCTGAGCTCTACAGCAAATCTTAAATCGTCTCATCCTCACGCTCTGCATGAACACCATCTTCCAGGTCAGGAATTTGATGTTTACTGCAGGAGAGGATTACAGACCCAATCCACTTGCAGGGTGTTTAAGTCCTATCAGCAGCTTTTCCTGCAGAGTGGATCTCCACTTTAGGGTTCTTTAGCTCAGCAAAACCCTGAAAACTTGTATTGTCAAGCTAACTTAAGGTCGTTTACAGTGAATTAGAACATTTTTCATTTTGTTCTTACATGGTAAATACATCCTCTGCGTTTAACCCTCCTTATCCTGTCTGCTTGAACCCCAGTCGGCCTCAACAGATGGCCGCTCACACTGAGCCTCGTTTTGCTGTTAAAAGGGACTTTTTCCTCTCCACTGTCTGAAATGACTGGACTTTTTCTTTTAAAATCTCTTAGAGCAAAAATGATGCCCCGCTGTTCTTTTGTTACCTTTGTGCAGCAGATTGGTAGCATTGTAGTGAATCTAATCTTGGTAAAAGAAAACGGTGCACATCATTGAGGTTATGCAATCCTTTAAATCAGGAGTTCTGAAACAGAGCGGCTTCTAACGCATGCAGGTCATGAATACTGGACCAAAGCTAGGAACCACTGACTGACTATGACCTTTCACCTTTTAGCTCGTGTGATGGTGGATATAAGGATTGCCAGTCTGGCAGAAGGTTTGGCCTTCCAGAGCTCCTCCTACAACTTCAGCCTGCAGGAGAACCAGCCAGCAGAGGTTTCAGTGGGGCAGGTCCTGGCCTACTCAGGAAGCACCCTGTACGGGGTCTCCTATGCCCTGAAAACACACACCAACCTGTTCTCCATCACCAGCGATGGAGAAATCTTGACGGAAGAAGAGCTTGACAAAGAGCAGCAGGAGTGGTACATCCTGGAGGTAGAAGCCGTGGACACACGGACGCCACCAACATCTGCAGTGACGCTGGTAACTAATTTTAGCTGAAGGACATGACAGCAATTTGATCATAAAGCTCTTTTATTGCAGCTCTCAGATAAAAATATATATTTCTTGTTTTTTTTTTAGGTCAGAATTCATGTTGAGGATGTAAATGAGCCTCCAGAGTTCGCCTCAGAGGAATATGAAGCCTCTGTGTTCAACTTTGCACCGTACAAAACCCCAGTGATCCAGGTCAAGGTAAATACATACACCTCCAACCAGCCTCCACTGGTTTGGAAAAAGATGTTTATCTCGTCAGTGACGTGTGATCGAAGGCGCACTCACTGTGGTTTTGTGAACTTTGACCTGAAACCCTCCCAGTAGCCCATTAAAGTTTCATGGTCACCGTGTCTTCTAAAATGACTCATATCTGACTGTCAGGAATGAAGGAAACTCACCATCTTTTATCTCTGTTCCATTCATCATGTGACCACTGAGGACAACCTGGCATGTTTCCCTCATCAGATGAGAAACAGCGCAGGAATTAGAAAAAATGACTAACATTAAATGATGTCCAAACATCCAGCTGACACAGCTTTATCCTGCACGGGCGGCAGATTTCATGGGACATTAAATGTTTACTCAGAGGTTTTGTTCTACCTGATTGAACCCCAGTCGGCCTCAGCAGATGGCCGCTCACACTGAGCCTGGTTCTGCTGGAGGTTTCTTCCTGTTCAAAGGGAGTTTTTCCTTTCCACTGTCGCTACAATAAGCTTAGAGTGAGAAATTGCTTTTGAGTTGAGCAATCAACCGGTTTTCCTTTGGCAGAAAACTTTGAATCAGTTTGACTGTCTGATCTGGTTGATTAGTTTCTGTAAAGTGCCTTGAGATGACATGTGATGTGATTTGGCGCTATATAAATAAACTGAACTGAATGACACCCTATAGTCACATGTATCAGTTATGAATCCTGGTCCATGTACGCTGAAAAAAATAATGCAACCATTTTTGGCATCATATTTAGTTACTTTAACATAGTTGTTTCATGTAAGCAGGGTAGGACATAAAACAATTGTGTTAAAGTCACTAAATATGATTAGGTAAATACCAAAAGTGGTTGCATTATTATTTTGAGTGTAAAGGGAACCCAATCAGTCCTAGTAAACCTGTTCAGCTTTTGGATCCATTTAGCTTTATGATGTAGCTACATGGCTTTAGCTTCCCCAGCCACGTAGCTACAGCTATTAAAAACACAATTTAATGTTAGAATATCACATAAAAACATTTTAATACAGAAAATAGGGTTAAATGAAAATGGTGTGGATAAAAGTGATGTTGTTATCAGTTCCATTTAGTTTATTTCTATAGCGACAATTCACAACACACGTCATCTCAAGGCACTTTACAATTCAACCAGATCATCCAGTCAGATTCATTCAAAGTTTTCTATGTAAGGAAAACCAGTTGATTGCATTGGCTCATTGACTTGAATGCAATCCCTCACACTAATCATTCTTGTAGCGACAGTGGAGAGGAAAACCTCCCTTTTAACAGGAAGAAACAGGAAGAAGCCGACTGGGGTTCAAGGAGACAGAAGCAGAAATACAAAAAGCAGCTGTAAAAGGCGGCCCTGTCCAGGATACACACAGCCAGGCAGACGAGCTCCGAGCCAGAGGACAAAGAGAGCACATCCAGTTAGTCACAGTCAGAGAAACAGGACTACACTGAAAAACAGGCCAAGCTCCAACATCTATGAACAAAGGTGTTGATGGCAGCAGCACAGCTGATATTTCTCTCCAGGATGGAGTCACAGCCAAACAGGAACAGACCAGATGAAGCTACTATGAGAAAAAGCAGAGAGAGCAGAACGTTAGAGATTCTGCAGAGTGGGAGAATAGAGATGAAACAGAATGATGAAAAAGGGGGTCCCTATGTCCTCCAGCAGTCTAAGCCTATAGCAGCAGAACTATAGAGATAGCTCAGGATAACCTGAGCCACTCTAACTAGAAGCTTTATCAAAAAGGAAAGTTTTAAGCCTAGCCTTAAAAGTAGACAGGGTGTCTGCCTCACGGACTAAAACTGGTAGTTGGTTCCACAGGAGAGGAGCCTGATAACTAAAAGATCTGCCTCCCATTCTACTTTTAGAAATTCTAGGAACCACTAGTAAACCTGCAGATTGAGAGCGAAGTGCTCTGTTAGGAACATAAGGAACAATCAGATCTCTGATATCAGATGGCGCTTGGCCATTTAAGGCTTTATATGTCAGAGGGAGGATTTTAAATTCTATTCTGGATTTAACAGGAAGCCAATGAAGAGAAGCCAGGATAGGAGAGATATGATTTTTATATTTCAGTTTTCATTTTCATCCATCTCTCTAAAACTCTGTTGAGAAAACTCTAAATCGAGTCTCAGACTCTGCATCACGCTGATAACACTAAACCAGGAAACTGCATATTTGCACCATTTATGTTAATGTTTCGAACTTCCATATCAATGCTTTTGTTTTTTTTGCACCATGTTTTTTTTCTCCCATGCTGTTTACATTTGATCACTGCTGCACTTTAAGGACTGGAAATGTCATGAGAGCCTTACGATGAAAACGAAATTTCATTTTGTCTACACTCTGTGTATACAAAATAACATTAAAGTTTCCAGATTAAGGATATTTTTAAAAGGCAGTTTAAAATGGTAGTTTAAGGGTAGTTTGTCACTAATCCAATGAAGGATATTTATCAGACCATGTTCTAATTTAGTGAATATTGACCCTCAGGCCTTTGACCCTGATGTTGGACACAGCAGCGCTCTGGTCTACAGTCTGACGGAGGACTCCCTCTTTGACGTGGATCCAGCCTCAGGCCTGGTCTATGTGGTTTCAGCTGCAAATACGGGCAAAGAAATTACTCTGAAAGTTAAAGCTACAGATCCCAAAGGACTTGATGCTACAGCCACAATAAAGGTAAGGTTTTTTTTTTCACCCTTCTTGCTATATTTGTGGTATTTCTTTGGGTCATTCCAGAATCAGAGGACATTTTATGTCCCAGCTTGAAATGTCAAATAAACCAGCTCAAAATACAGAAAAATACACCTTTTATATAAACGTAGTCTTTACGAAATACGTAGCTGTCAAAAGTGATTCCTAAATATTATTGGTACTGGATACTCCAAGTTCCTGGATGGATGGATGGATGGATGGATGGATGGATATATAAAATAAATAACTAAAACAAGTTCAACCAAAATAAGAACAGTGAAAGAAACCACAAACTCAAAGAAGACACATTCTCATGTTGTGTTAAAAGCCAGATAATAAAATCAGCTTTTTCCTTATTTTAAAAATAATAAAATTCCATTGGCAAATTTCCTTACCTATCTGCTCAGATCAAATCGACTTACTTTTATTTCAGTTTTTTCGTAATGTGTATTTTAGAACAGCTGCCATGTTGACAGTGAAGCTGAAATAGTAAAATTTCTAAAAGGTGATTGAGTGAAAGTATTTATGATCACCTGAATATAAGAGCAGTCAGCTGAAGTACAGTAAAATGAAGCTTAGGGGTCATTTTTCTAATGTTTTTATTTGTTTGTTTATTTTGGTCTAGTAAAATCCTATTAATCCTTCTGTTGCAGATTGAAGTTCAGGAAAGTGCGAGCAGCAGTGATGTTGTAACCATCGCTATCAATCGGCCGGCTAACGTTGTGGAGAAGAAGGTTCCAGAGCTTGAAAAGTAGGTTCATGTAGAATTTCTGTTAATTTCCAGACTTATTTTTAAAAATTCCTGTTGTTAAAACGCAGATTTCTTTTCCTTTAGATCTTTGGGTAAAGTTCTGGGCTGGACGGTGAATATAATCCAGGTGTGGAGCTCTGATGGATCAGACACCCGAACGCTGAGGGCTTCTTACCGGACGTTGGTCAGCTTTGTTGCTCTTGATGACACAGAAGCCGTTTCTGCTGAAGAAGTCCAGAAGTAGGAGCTTAATCTTTGAGTCATAAGTGTTTTTTTTATTGAAATATATTAAATGTGATGGAAAACTCTGACCTGTTAAACCTTTGATTTTATTGCTATATGACTGAAGGTCAAAGTATTAATGGCATTTATTTCCCAGGAAACTGCAAAGCGAGTCTGATGAGCTGAAGGCAGAGCTGGATCTGTTGTTTGGAGAGAAGCCTGATTTTGACGTAGTGACAGATTCTACCACCCCCGCCTCAAACATGGCGGTAGTCATCGCTTTGGGCGTTCTGTTGGGCCTGAGCCTCGTGGGACTGATCATTGCCACCGTGTTTGCCGTCAGGTAAGAACTCTGATTGCTTTGGGGTTTCTCGTTCGAACAGCGAATCAAATTCAACCTTTTTATGCCGTCAGGTATAAAAGGAGCAAGAAGCTGAAGGCATTGGACAAGGAGAGCTTGACCAGCAACCGCCACTCCGTTGGTTACGCGTAAGTCTTCCTCAGGCTGCAGCACATTTCAACACAAGAAGCTCGTTTTATAATCACATGTTTTATCTTTTTTTTCAGGAACCAGAATTTCAGGAAGCAATCGGAATCCTCTGTGAGGGTGAGCAAAGAAATCTCCATAAAACTGTCAAACCAAGTGGAGAGTAATCCCTGAGGGTCTGAAATTAGATATGTAATTAAAGCAAGTACAGATCCCGAACTATAATTTAGAGTTATTTGAATTTGTGTGACAGAATTTTGTCTGGCAATGTGGCAATAAGAATAACTGTCTTGATGCCAAAAAGAGCCCAACAGATTTTGCTTCACAAGTGGAGCAGTGCGGCTATCGCCATATAAATAACATTATCATAATTATGCAGGGAGTATTACAGATTATATGCACTGGAAAAATTTAAATCTAAATTAGTCCTTTTTTCTTAAAATAAGTGCATTTGTCCTTGAATTGAGGAGATAAAAGAGACATAGTGCCAATGGAGCAAGACAATTTAGGTTTAAAAAAAGAAAACACAACTGCATTGTCTCATTTCAAGTGCATATTATCTAGTTATCTTAGTTTAAGAGTAAAAATACTCATTCTATTGGCAAATTATCTCATTTGCCTACTCAAATCAAAGGTAAATACACTTAATTTTAGACATTTTTTACTTATTTCTAGATCGTTTTTGCAGTGTGGACACTGCAATCTAAGTAGTACAAGAAAGAAAAAGCAGGAAAAAGGAGAAAAGATGAAAGAAAGAGGAGATAAAAGGGAGACAATGATGAAACGTCTTTTGTCTGTTTCATCACCTGCAAGGAGAGCTAAAAAGAACAGCACGACCAATGAATATAGTATAATAGATATAATAAAATTGCACATTGATAATATTTAATCTGACGTGTATACACTGGAAAAAAAATCAAAATCTAGGTAAGTAATTTTTCTCTTAAAATAAGTGCATTTGTTCTTCGATTGAGAAGGGAAAAGAGACATTTTGCCAGTGGAACGAGACAATTTACACTTAAAATAAGAAAAAACAACGGCATTGTCTTATTTCAAGTACATATTCTCTACTTATCTTATTTTAAGAGTAAAATGACTCATTCCATTGGGAAACTATCTCATTAACATTTTCAAATTAAGCGTTTATACATTTATTTTAAGAAATTTTTTACTTATTTCCAGTGTACTGTGGTAGCTGAAGATAAGAACACTGCAAAAACCTTCTAGAAATAAGTCAAAATTTCTTAAATTAAGTGTATTTACCCTTAATTTGAGGAAGTAATTGAACAATAGAATGAGTGTTTTTACTCTTAAAATAAGATAATTAGATAAAATGCACTTGAAATAAGACAATGCAATTTTGTTTTCTTATTTTAAGTGTAAATTGTCTTGTTCAATTGGCAAAATGTCTCTTTTTTTTTTTTTAAGAAAAACGACTTATCTAGATTTCGATTTTTTTCCAGTGAATATGGGCTTTCTGTATGTAACCACTATTTTAAATGTCACCATGTCTGATTTATAGGTGATTAAACAAAGAAAAAATGAAAGTTTTACAAAATAAACACTGCAAAACACCACAAAACCCCATTTGAAACTCTGGATGAACCCTCAGACTTCATAGATCCACATCTCAAACCTTAAGCAGATTTGGACTGAATAAGTTGAAGCATTTTTGTTCCATAAAGGTTTTAGTGGGCGGTGTGCTAGGCGGAAATGTGATTTTTTTCCACTCATAAAATGAAATCTGGTCAGACAAATAGGCTGATTTACATTATTGGAGATCTTCTGCATAAGACAAAGCCTCCTCTCCTAAGATTTAGCTCTTATTTCATTGAAATTTACCAAAAATATCACTTATGTAACGCATGCCGGTTACATCACCTGAAGTGTTCGCACAATTACCTCCGATCCCTCTTTTGAAAGGTGTGAGCCTTTAGTTTCCAGTTATGGCGGCCATTAGTGGGTGTGGCTAAAAATGAATACCTGCTGTTGCATTACTCCCGCAGAGTCACACATGTCAGTTGGAACTTTAAATCTCATTTTATTTGTTTACACTGCTATAAAAATAAAAAGTACTTGTGAAAAGATCATTTTGAAACATGTTTTTGAAATTTTAAAGCCCCATTTGAAAGGCGTGTGGATGAAACACCATGTGACTGCGTTTTGGCCTTTTCTATAAATAGATAAACATGAGTGCACTGGAAAAAAATCAAAATCTCGATAAGTCATTTTTTCTTAAAATAAGTGCTTTTTGTCTTGAAATGAGATGGTAAGTCAGACATTTGCCAATGGAACAAGACAATTTATATTTAAAATAAGAAAAAACAATTACATTGTCTTATTTCAAGTGCATATTATCTATTTATCTTATTTTAAGAGTAAAAATTCTCATTCTATTGGCAAACTATCTCATTTAACTACTCAAATTAAGGGTAAATACACTTAATTTAAGAAATATTTACTTATTTCTAGATCATTTTTCCAGTGTGGGTGTCAGTTGGGCCCTGTACCGGGCCCACTGGGCTTCAGGGGTTAAACTAGTGGCTGATCAGCTGTTTGTGTTGCAGTGGGACTCCGATAAGAACAAACCAGGAGACAAAGAGACGGTGCAGTGGGGCGGAAAGGTCGAGGACAGGAGGACATCAAAGAAGGACAATGACAGTCTGAATCTAAGCGAGCGCAGAAACAGCGGGAGTAGTGGAAGTCTGGATTCTGCTCTCTGATGTGAACATCTCTCCGTTTTCAAGCAAAAAAACCCCACAGTTATAACGTTATAAATGACCTCTGTGACTTTAACCTTTTTTTTTTTTTTCTCCAAACACAGCAGAACTGTACGTTAGAAAGCATTTAAGTTTGTCTCTGGTTTAATTAAAGAAAGGACAGATTTCCCAACATGGATCCTAGTTTAGTCTTTTATATAAAGGCTTTTTTTTTTACATTGATGCAAAGCTCCAATAAGTCGTCTGGAGGAAAAGTGAATAAGGAGTTTCCACTTCACTCTGCCCTGTATGATGGTGTTTCAAATCGCTCCAGGATCAATGGGCATTTTTCTCCTTTGTTTTGTCAAAGATTTAGGCACCAAAGCGGTTTGGAAATCAAGTTTATATAAAATGACACAATCAGCAAGCTGCAGTAATTTAAAGGAATATGTTCACGCTCAGTTTTAATAGTTTCTTGCTTTGTAAATTAACACTTTGGGTGTAAATCGAGAAGCCCGTCATTTATTTTTATGTTCAAATTCATGAAATGCAAATGAACCTACAGAAGTGGGTTGATATTTTAGACGTTCTTCCTCTGTGGACGTTATTGGTTGTTGTAAATAATCTAAAAGGTTTTAAATAAAAATATTCCTGAGAACTGTGTCCTGATTTATGTTATTATATTCAGCATCAGGCTGACTTTCACACGCTGCAGTAAACAAGGCTCGGCTTCATCATATTAAAACTTCTACCAGTCTGTTTTTCCTGCAAGGCCACACAATGCCTGAGTGAGGGGTGTTTGTTGACATTATATACTTCTTCCCATAACAAGCCACATTCTTCCTCAAGGTTTATTCATAACGTTACTGTTTAACTAAAGTGTGTGTAATTTGACTGATTACTCTCCATTATTGGAAAGTAGCAGGAATGAACCTTGCCAGATCAGAACAGGGCTGATTACCATGCAATAAGGGCCTTATGATGAACTGTTATGACATAATTCAAGCTAAGTTATAAAAGACTCGTTTCAGAAATGTTCTCACCACTAAGCTGATGTTTGCAGAAGCACCTTCTTTCAGTTATAATCTTTTGCTGAATTTCTTTTTCTTTCTTAAGAATTTTAATCTACAAATTTCAGCTGCATTTTTTTTAATTTTCCTGTTCCTGCAGCTACAAACACAGCTTACAATAAGTTTAAAATGTTATACAACATACAAAGCTGATGTTTCCTGCATATATTCTAGATTTTGGAGCCAATAGACCCAAATGCTCTGGTACCAGGTAGTTCTCCAAATCATGACCCTTCCTTTTATGAAATCAGCAGATTTTCAACTTTTTGTTGCAAAAAGCACACAAAGGACTAGTTTCTTTCCTTAAAAAAAAAACAAATAAAAAGGGTTCAGGTCATGAAACTACCTACCTACACTGAAGGGTCACTACCTATAAAATGAGAGTCAAAATGTCTAGTGGATAAAAGTAGTGGACTCAAAATGTCCTACAAGGAAAGGAAGATGGTGCAGGCACTGTAAAAAGTAGTGTTCATCTGTCCAAACGGACAATGAAACGCTGGAGGGAAAAAAAATAAAAGTCCGCCCTAACAGCTCCCTTTATAGGGAAAGGTTTTCCCTATAAAGGTTTTATTGTCATTACACTGTAAAGAGCAACAAAATACTCCCTCCATTTAATTCATTCCCTTGGGAAGCAGTGGGCTGCCATTGGGCAGCGCCCGGGGAGCAATGTGGGGTTAAGGGTCATTTCTCAGAGACCCAGAGGGGCAGTCTGTGGGAGTGGGTTTACAACTCCCCACAGGATTCAAAGCCCTATGCCCTAACCACTAGGCCACGCCTCCCATGGAGCAATGCCCTTCATAAAAATATAAAATAAAAAAATAAAAACACGCAGACGTTTGATGCAGTTTGTTCTGAGAACTCAGAGGGATGAATTTTATTTTTATGGTCATTTCAACCCCCCAAAACTGTAGCCTCGTGAGACCATCCTGATCTCGCGAGCTTTCAAGGTTTCACTCGCAAATCAGTCTGGCTACTTTCTGTTGAAGAAAATTTGGAGCCGTTCACCAAACGAACATCCAATCAGCGTTGGCTTTGAGGCGGGTTGAGGTGTGACGCAACGAGAAGCGCGACAGTTCAGTCTAAAGAACGTGGCGGCTTCAGCCGATGAAACTAGCGTTAGCGTGGCTATCGAGCAAGTTTTATCGGAATTACAGAGTATTTCTTCACTGAAAGAAGAGCAAAACACTGCTCTGTAGGCTTTTCTCAGAGGAAAAGATGTTTTTGCTCTTCTCCCGACTGGTTTCGGCAAGAGTTTGATCTATCAATTGGCTCCTCTTCGTCGTCGCTCTGTTAGTACGTCATATGCTTCGTTGATCTGATTGGTTTATTTGGCCCGTCTATCACCAACATAGGCCAATCAGCTAACCAGTATTTTCGCCCCTTCCCAAAATTACTTCAACTGAAGGTTTCCAGATGGATATGCGGAGCAACGTTACCACAATTGTAAAAGATCTGTAATTATCTCATTCGACCAACTTATTCTTCATTAATGCTAAATTCTTAACATTGTTAACAAGAACAAAATGGTGATTCCTGCACAAAAAAATCTGAGTGAAACATGAAGCAAAATGAAGCTGTTCAGGGATGAAAACAGCTTCATTATGCAAGAACGTTTCAGCAACCCATTGAAAAGGTTTCGCTTTTCTCAAGATGTTTCCTTTATTTTAAAACCTAAATTTTGACATGGAGATTTTTTTAAAGAAGGACGAATCTTTAGTATTTATTTGCGGCTCTAAATAATTTCTTTTTTTAGCTGGACTGAATATAAAAAAAGGCTCTTTTGTTGTAAACGGTGCCGAATGCTGAAGACTCAAAAACATTATAAAAGCAAATGTCTACGCCATAATCATTCATGAGAAACGAATCATGCAAAGTTTATGACTCGATGCAATCAGATGCTTTTTCTTGCATGAAAGAAGATTTAGATAATATGTCGTTACAATTTAATAAAAATTATTTTTCAACTGCCTTCAGATGACAAGTTTTGAATTAATGAAGGAGCATAAATTTATTCAACCTGAATAGTTAATGAATTTATGCAGAAGAAATAAAAGAAGTCAGGATGAATGTCGGCGCATCATTGTTCATATTAAAACTGTTTTTATTAATTTATTCTCTAATAAAATAAAGATCAGAACACAGCAGAAGAAGCAAAATAATCAACAGCTTGTGGAATGTACGTCTGTAAAATAAAATAAAAGCTCCAGCTGGTCCAACATGGGGGGGCTTTATTTTCACCACGGTCAAATAAAGCACCGCTTTTATATATTTATATATAGATATATAGTTTTACATATATATATATATATAAAGATATTTATATATACTTTGATAGTTTTTCATATACACCTTCAGGCAATAACTAGAGTGGATTCTTTACAGAATCAAGTTTCTTGTGGTTCTATTCATTTACAGGTAAACTTTGTTTCTGGATAATTAAACCACAGAAAAAAAGTCAAGGCAACTTTCCTTTTGCCTAATTCATAAAGTACAAAACTGGCACAGAGGACGACCATTTTTAGACAGTAAAAATGCAATAAAATTAAATTACAAACGGAGGAGACAGAAGTCGTGTAAACCTTTCCCCGTTACAGCAAACCTAAAATAAAATCACTTTCAAAAACAACTCAGTATAAAACACGCACAAAAACTAAACTTTTTTTTTTTTTTTTGCCCTTTGAAAAAAATGTGCCGCAGCTCGTATGATGTGTTGGTCTTTGTGCGACGAGGGGGGGGGCGGGGCTGCTTGGCGCCCAGGAAACATGTCGGGAGCCGCGGAAGCTCTACGCTCCGACTGAGTGGACGTCGGCAGAAGGCAACGAAGAGCAGCGGAGAAACAGCACAGGAGGAAAAGAAACCGATGGGCGGCGGATGAAGGACAGCTGATGATATCATGAAGACGGCGACGCTTTAGCAGACAGTTTGGTAACTATGGCAATGGTGGCCTCCACCGTCCTGTGAAGCATGTCCAGCATGTCAGGCGGGGGGGCGCCACTCAGGATGACCTGGGAGGGAGAGGCGTGGCTCCCGTCTGTCCCCTCCCCCACCAGCCCCAGGGCTGATGGCATGGCGGCGTCCTCTGGGGGCGTCGGAGCAGAGCTGGCGCCGCTCTTAGCCGCTGCCTCCGTCTCTCCAGAGGAGGCAGGCGGCGGTCCTCCTCTCCGTCCCTCTGGCCGCTCCTCTTCCTGCTCCTCGGCTGCCTCTGCGGGCTGCTGCCCTTCGGGCTCCTCCCCCTGAACGAATCCCTCTCCTACTTCCTGCAGCAGGGAGGAAGATGATGAGGAGGAGAAGGAGGAGGAGGATGATGATGAGGAGGCCTCCATCTTCTCCTCTTTTAAAGAGGAGTCCAGATTTCTAGAAGTAGCCGGCGTTGGTTCAGGAGAGGGAGGGTCCTGCTCGGTGCCAGGGTCAATTAAGGAAGAGGAGTCCCGCGTCTCGGTGTCTGAGGTGCTGGTGGGCGTCAGCGCCTCCTGGTGGTCAGGCTTTGACTCACTGCAGACGGGCAGAGCTGAGGAGGAAGAGGCCATGCAGAGGGGAGCGGCGGCATCCCCGACACGGTCGTTCTCTGTGCTCATCCTGCGGCGCTTCACGGGCGTCGCTCCTTCATCCTCACCTGAAACAGTCAATACACCAATCAATGACAGCAGAGCGTCCTGAACGGAAACCACGGAGGAAGCGACTCTGATCTCCGTACCTTTGGACTTATGGTCCTTGGCCTCCAGCTCCAGAGCACTGCGCTGCTGGAGACAAAGACGACAGCGACCCAGCAGCTCCTGCAGGGCGGGGCTGAGGGCGGGGTCAATGTTTGGAGGAGGCTGGATGGAGAGCAGCAACACCAGAGCCCTCAGGTCCTGAAATGAAAGAACAGTTAGAGCAGAATAAACTATACAGGAAGGAAGGAAGGAAGGAAGGAAGGAAGGAAGGAAGGAAGGAAGGAAGGAAGGAAGGAAGGAAGGAAGGAAGGAAGGAAGGAAGGAAGGAAGGAAGGAAGGAAGGAAGGAAGGAAGGAAGGAAGGAAGGATAAACTATAGAGGAAGGAAGGAAGGAAGGATAAACTATAGAGGAAGGAAGGAAGGAAGGAAGGAAGGAAGGAAGGATAAACTATAGAGGAAGGAAGGAAGGAAGGAAGGAAGGAAGGATAAACTATAGAGGAAGGAAGGAAGGAAGGAAGGAAGGAAGGAAGGAAGGAAGGAAGGAAGGAAGGAAGGAAGGAAGGAAGGAAGGAAGGAAGGAAGGAAGGAAGGAAGGAAGATAGGAAGGAAGGAAGGAAGGATAAACTATAGAGGAAGGAAGGAAGGAAGGATAAACTATAGAGGAAGGAAGGAAGGAAGGAAGGAAGGAAGGAAGGAAGGAAGGATAAACTATAGAGGAAGGAAGGAAGGAAGGATAAACTATAGAGGAAGGAAGGAAGGAAGGAAGGAAGGAAGGAAGGAAGGATAAACTATAGAGGAAGGAAGGAAGGAAGGAAGGAAGGAAGGAAGGAAGGAAGGAAGGAAGGAAGGAAGGAAGGAAGGAAGGAAGGAAGGAAGGAAGGAAGGAAGGAAGGATAAACTATAGAGGAAGGAAGGAAGGAAGAGGAAGGATAAACTATAGAGGAA